GCTTTTTGCTGCTGCAGCTTCCTCCACCACCACAACCTCCTCCTTGGGTAATATGTTTATAGTTTTCTTCAGTGATGGGAAGGAGCAAAGTACTTTTACTTCATCAGTGCGTATATTTTTCATGTATCTGTGATTAAGTAGATTTACACTCAGGTACTTTTCACTTTTACTTCATCACATATATCAGCAAACATCTGTTCTCTCTACTCCACCACATTAGCGTCATGTTACATCTTCACATTATTTTACATATCTTTAAGAGTCATCAATAACGGCCAATCAGAGCAGGGCAGGTAGACCCCTCCTCCTGCAGCAGTAGCATCACTGGTGAAGAAAGACGGAACATGGATACGGAGGTCATGAAGACTCAGCCAAAATGATGCAGTAGGATACACGCAGCAAGTACTTCTACTTTTAATAACTAAGAATATTTGTAAGCAAATACTCACTTTTACTCGATAGAAAAGGTGAAGTGGTACATTTTTGTCTATTGATTTGTACTTTTACTTTAGGTCAAATGTTTTAGTACCTCCTCCACCACTGGTTGTGCTGCTTTAACTAAGATTTAAAGTTCATGTACCGTACATCTGTCTTTTATGTAACTGTATAAGCATTTGATACAGTGAGGACTTTCGCAGTAGTGCTCGCCAGCTGACATGCAAGATGAAGCAGTGAAACAGTGTTTTGGTGCCGTTACATCATATTTGGGCTTTAGTAGGGTAGGAAAGCATTTAAATGTTTTCTCTCTGCTTCACTCACACACACACACACACACACACACTGGTTAACCTTTTCTCAAGCTACCTCAGCTGTTAACGACCAGTTGGCTGCCTGGTTCAGGGATAAACATATAGTGCACGGTTCCATTTTAAGCAGGGCAGTCCACCTCCTCTCATCCTCATCACTTGAGAGCCACTATCTCCAACACAGCCCCCCCCCTCTCTCTGTGATCCAGATTAGCTCACAGGCTCGGCATGCTGTCATGCTGGCAGCCCCAGCTATCCATTATAGTCCACCTTCTCCTGGTGCCACAGGTGGCTGCTCCAATAACAGCCCAACTCTAACCCAGATGGGAGACGGCCGAGAGAAATGAGATGGAAACGCAGCAGAGCTTCTCCCTCCTGGTGCAGTCACACACTGCAGCATGTGCAGAGCTGCTAAATACGGGCGTAGGCTTTCGCTGCGTCTTATTCTCACTGGATTGTTTAAACTACCCAATTATCTGAGCCTCGAAAGGGGTGACCCACACTGCTCTGCCGTCCCAGGAGGGGGAGAGGAAGTAGGACTCATTATGACAAGGTGGAGGTGGAGTTTCCTCCAGCGTGTCCAAGGTTTCATCAGCAGGGCTGCAGGTTCAAACGGAGCAAAGGAGCACGAGGAATGGACAAGTAGAAGGATGGGAAACGCCCAGAGATGAGACATGGCTCAAAGCTGGAACATTTGATCACTTCCCATGACATAACAGGGTTTGTTAAGTGAACCTCAAACCGAAAAATAATGATGATGATCAGTATTGATGACAGGGTTTAGGAAGTTACATTTATATTTTTCAAACATTTTATTTTATATATGTGTTTAATCTTTTATTTTTCTACTGCACATACAATCTGAAGAGTTTTTTTTAATGTTTTGATTTATTTATTTAAAACCATTAGTGTCACTGTTACCCTGTTACTGTTTGTTGTTTGGTTCATTTGTAACCAGGATTTCACAAAAACAAGCAACAAGATCTCCACAAAACTTAAAAGAAGGTTGTGGTATGGGCAAGAGAAGAACTCTGGATCAGGGTCTGAGTTGTTCTTTTCACTTTCTTTAACATCGTAAGGTGTGTATGTTTTTTTTCCCCCCAGGGAATAATTTGTAGATCTTGATTTAAAAAAGCATGTGTGTGGTTTGGTGCCACTGGATTGAATTTAAGGAAACTGTTGGGCCTTGGTGGAGGGATGAGCTCTACTGATATGGTGCCATTGTAGTTTTTATTTGAGTAGGCTTTTAGTGTAGATCTAAATGGATATACAGCATGACATTACACATTTTGTTTGTATTTATCCCTTTGCTTGAGCTTTTCAGTCTCATATTTGTAAAGTTGCTTTGTCTTCATGGTGGAGGGCTCTTTTTAGATCAATGTCAAAAAATAAAAGTTTATTTAATCCCACTTTTATCTAGTGTTGCAAAACTAATAAACTCTGAAGCCTACAAGTGGATATGAATACTTTACTGAACTGTATGTTTGTTGTTAGTGCACCTTCACTTAAACACATTGTCCCAGGTCACTTTTAAACTTAAACTTAAACTTCCTTTATTGATCCCACAAGGGGAAATTCTTTTTACACTCATTTTTCATTTTATACATGCAGTTTAACCCACAATCCCACACACACACACACACTGAGGGCTCAAAGACATGCAATTTTTTGGAGAGAGATGGTAGAGTGATGGGCAGCCCCATGGGCCAGAAGTTATTTTGGGGACATGCCATAGATGTACATGCATGTCTTGGAGACGTACCCTAACCCCAACCATATGATGTGACTTAACCCAACGCTTAAACCATCACAGAGAGGGAGGACCAGACAAGATGTCCTCACTCCATAGGTTTGAGGCTAAAATGGTCCTCACAATGGTATCTGTACAACTCCTCGCACACACACGGACGAATAATTCAATTAAAGAGAGATAATCAGCTCCCAGAGAACAGAGCACTGCCAAACAGGAGCACTGAGCATTAGTTATTGTTGCTCCGGTGGCAGATGATTCGAATGGGAAACCTGTCCCTCAGCTGACCCTGATAATAGGAGCAATTGTGCAGTTCTCTAATTTATCTGAATGTTCAAACAGGAAAGTGATGTGAGACAAAGGGGTGGGGGGGCAGCATGCACATTCGGGGATGCGGGTGGGCGGGTGCAGTTTCGGCTAAAGGCAACACATTACTGTACCACCATGATTCATTTGATGCTCATGGTGGTTTGTGATTCATACGTGTAAACAGTTGAAGTAGATGATCTGAGGCAGAACGTCACTGTCGTACTTGGTGCGAATCACAGGCTGATGAAACAAGCTCTGTAAAATCAGCCTGCTCCACTTCAGTCGTTGGCATCGTGTTAACACTGCTGAGTCCGTGTATGCCACCAGATGTGCTTTCATTACCTCTTTAGGTTTTTCACTATTCATCAACTCTCAACATGTGGTTTTTGACAATAACCACTTGCATTGCCTCTAAAGATTTAATTGAATGTAGCAAAGCAATTTTGTCCATCTTCTTTCAAACATTGCCTTGGATTTTTAAACTAGCTCCACTAGTTCAATTATTTCTTTCAATTTCTCTATACTCCGGCTTCCTCTTTGCTTCCATGTAAAAAAAACGTATTCTCAAATTTCAAATACATACTGTTTTCTGGAGGCATCACACCTAGAAAAGAATATAATCTGGACCGCTCTGAAAAACAAGTTCCTTTTCACACCATTCCAATATAATTGAACACAAAGATAAGTCTGGACGTTTGCACAGATTTCTCCACATTCCTTCCCAGATGCAGAAGATTTACATTTGCCGTCAATTTTATTTGTTGTAATAAAATACTGCGTCTGTGCCTTCAAAGCATATTCTCTCCACATTGGTGGAGCAGAGTCCCATTGCGAATGTCTTCTGGACATTATCTGAAATATTCGATCTTTTTTAAGGGCAGAAGTGATAAATATCAAATGAAAAGCTTTTTTTTTTTATATTGTAATGATGCCATTTAATGATATCATCATGGCCTCATTCAAATGAGTCTGACCTGGTTAAATAAAAGCTAATAATAAAAAAAAGTGAATGCATTCCTACATTATATGACATAGTTGTCTGGCTTTATAGTGACATCATTTCTACCATTTTTGGTGTCTTGAATCCTATAGGACGCAAAGATCCCTGGAAAATGTTTTTGAACTACCTATGACGTCATACATCTGACATGACTTCACTCATCCAATCAGATGAGTTAAGTGTTCCCTTCATTTGTTTGGGCAGTGTACATTGATACACCTCTTCATTTATGTTAATCACCGTTCTTTCTCATGAAAGATGTAAATATTGTTGTTTTGTTGATGTGCTCTGTTACAAGTGGCATCTCTTGCAGTTATGTCCATCCAGGTAGAGGGATCCTTTACCTCAGAGGTTTCTGGGTATTTTACCTCCAAATAATTCGTTTTTGGTAGTTTTTCCTCTCTCTGGTCGAGGGTTAGGGTCAGAGAATGTTGCACCTTGTACAGATTGTTGAGTCCTATACAAACTATGTTTTGTGAGTATGGGCAATACAAATATAATCAAGGAAACATAAAGTTGATTTCACAATGTCCCCCTGACCCAGATCTCTGATGCCAGCAAAGCATCACCCAGCTTTGCCAAGGCTTCCCTTATATCATGATGACATCATGCTTATTAGAAGCCTTTTTCGTCTCGAGGCTGGTTCTTTTCATCTCGGGTAAATGACAGCTCTGGGATCCTGGGTGAACAATCAACAGAGGCAGGAGACAGAGCGGAGGGAAGACAAGCAGTAGGAGGGAAGGTTTGAGCGGAGGAGGAGCGGGGAGGCAGGAGAGCTGAGTCACTCTGGTGTGGGGGCTTTGGTGGCGCAGAGGGGCACTGAATCATCTGTTGCCTTATTGAATATTTCCTCCGTTTGATGTCATTATCGCCTCAGTGATCATCACTACCGTCATCAGCGTCGTCCACGAGACTCCAGATGAGAGGCAGGGGAGCGGCGGAGGAAGCGTGGAGGCAGACCAGAGGGTAACGGTGTTCTGAGGTAACACAAGAAGAGACTGAACAGAAGGGACACCGCAATTTTCCATTGACTTACAGGAGATGTTTGTACTTGTTTTCTTCGGGATACAGACGCAGCATGAAACTGATGCTACTGGATCCCTGATTACAGTATCTGTGTGTGTACTGACAGAGTGACCAATACATTATTATTCCACGTTGAGACAACACGTAAATAAAATGACAGCACAAGTTATACTGAAGTAATTTCTATTTTAATTACAAATGAATCACATTTCAACCCAAACTTCTTTTTAAACCTTCAATGTGCCATGCATACAAAATCAAAATCAGTGTCCACCTGTTAGTGCCCAATAAAGTTTCTATTTGTAAGGGGTAGATATCAAAGTCCTTCTCTTGTGCATTAATATTCACAGATATGTACATTCAAATTAGTCAGCTTCAAAAATCAAGTATCCTCGCGAAAAGAGAAACCAACATTAAAAGTAAAAAGTTACAAAAAACTTTCAAATTAAACAATATATTTCTCTTTAAAATAGAATTAATAACTATTTCCACTAACATGAGTTAAATTATGATTGCTTCATTTTTAACCATAGGCACGTTGTAGATAGGCGAGGCGTCGTAGAAGCCAAATGGAGGAAATGCGTGTCTTCCTCTTTCCTCACTGCAGCTGATGTTTGTGTAAACAAAACCACTGAGCTATCGTACGGTCCTTGTGGGGACCAGTTCAAAATTAAAAGTAAAAAATAAAAATAAATTAAAAGAAGAAGAAAAAAAAAAAAGCAGAACGATGTCTAATGGTTTCCTCTGCTCCAGCTTCACACAGGGTCGCAATGTGATAAGTGATGAACAGAGACTCTCATGGCTCACAATGACTGGTTTCTTTGGTATAAAACCACCATGACGTCCCACGGCTATAATAACTACTTCATCTGGAACTAATGCAGTAATGATTGGGAAACACAACCTTATTTACTCCCTCTCTTTCAAACTGATGTTTAGATTTACCAACAAGACAAAACCAGGCGCTTCCTCTACGTGAAATGACAGTACATGTGAGTGATGTGGCTACCGCTGCATCTCAGCTTTGTCACATGTGCAGTCAATGTGATGCGATGCAGAAGTCACACTCATCTAAGGAAGCTCCACACAGATTATCTGTGCGATAACAACAGATGAGGTAAATCAGTATCTAAGAAACAACCTGCAGCTTAACAAATATTAATTATGAAAGTGGTGAGTAAGTGTATTTTACAGTCACTTTTTCTTTTTGAAGATTCTTGACAAAGAGTATTTCCAGGGATGTGAGTGTCCATCTGTGTATTAGTGGGAAACAAGTTATTTGCGTTTTTCTTGAATTCTTCATGACACACAAGGTACGGTGGGGAAGGGAATCAATTCAGCTTTGCTTTCACTGCTGTGAAAACATCTTGATGCTTAACTGCTGAAACGTACAGTATATATTAAATAAATGTGCGGATAAAACCGTAAATTCTGGATGTCCCAATAACAATTCTGATGTTGTTTATTCCCATGATTATTTGGCATCATTGCCTTTCATTCACTTACTCGTTGGGGGGGTTAAAATCCTATAATTGAGAGGAATGCATTGCAAGAGTGTTTTCCCTCAGCTGTAATGTTAATTGTCCTCCTATGCAAAGATTATGGCTAAATGAGTATCATCTTCATCCTTTTCAGTTTGAAAGTGGGGCTTAGTTTGGATTACAAGTTTTGGATATTTTTGATAATGTACTGATCTTTCTTTGCAAAGGCAACCCTCTAAAATACCATCAACTACTTCTGTTGTCTGAAAAGCAAAATGAGAGCGTGAGAAGGTGAGTGGGACGAAAGGAAGTACATCTTAAAAGGACAGAAGGACGGAAGGAAGGAAGGAAGGAAGGAGCGGAATGAGCTTGTAGGTCAGTTCTTTCTCCCTGTGGTGACAAATGAGACTCCACTGTCCTGGACAGTATTTTTAGGATGCTCTACATGTCCGTTGAGACATGCAAGTTGCCAAGGTGACCTGTTTTCGGCATGATCAACTATGTAACCCGGAGTGGCTGCTGTTAAGGGGGTGGGGGAGAAAAAAAGGTTGTAAAGGTTGCAAATTTGGCACACTTCATGTCCTCAAGCATGGCATCTTCAAGTAAAAACGTAAAAAACTAAACAAAAAAGATATTGTTCCTGTTCCAGTGAATGGACATGCTGATAAACTGGACTCACCTAAGGCAAAAAGGATTGTGAGTAAGAGTGGAAAGTGCTCTGCGAGTCCCCCCCCCTCCCTCACCACCACCACCACCGCAGCCCATGTCCACAGTGCGTCAGTGAGTTACCAGCGTGGAGAGCGGGGGTCCTGTTAGAGGGTAAGCACTGGGTGGTCAGAGAGGTTTTCCTCCCTCGCCGCTCTGTTCCTTGTTCAGAGCGAACTTAGCTGAGTCAGGACGTGTCCCCTACAGGTCGCTGTCCTCGTTCCTCTCAGCAGATCTCTCTCAGGGGGACATGTTGAGTAGCTTGGTAGATTTATTGGGGTAATTTATAGCCAGGCTGATGGCAGCAATGTTCTTCAGAGCCTAAACAATGAGGGGAAAAAAGGTGCATCAGTAATTGAATGAAATACAGAAGAATGAATGCAGGGAGAGAGTTTGAAGTTATGAATTGAAAGCTCGTTTTTCATCTGCACTGTGCTCTGCATGTTGAGTGATGATAAAAAGGCAAACTGAGAGTGAATAAATGGTGCAAGGACATCTGTGTGGTTTATTTCACCTTTTAAATGGCTAAGAGCTTAAACACCTGTGCTGCCTTTCAGTGGATTTGTTTGCTTCACTGACAGCTGTTCACCTGGAGCTGCAGGTTGGGGCCATCAGTCATTTGGTCGTTGTTTAAGATGACTGTGCTTCTACTGGCTCAACATCTCATTTTCATACAGCACTTCTATTCCAAGATGAACAGTCTGACTTTACACCAGTTTACCATGAATCCTCATGTGTTTGCTGACTGATCCATGAACATCACCCTCACACCGAAATCTCTAAATATTACACGAAATTGACTTAAATGATTTGATTCTTAATTCATTAAATCGGAAATAGCTGCAGTATCAAAACATGTCTGTTAAATCTGTTAAAACATTCAGAATGATGAGTAACAGAGAATCAGATTCCAATCACTCTTTTTGTAGTTAGCTAAGTGCAAACAGGAGGCTTGTCATTCATTCATCTAATGTTTGATGCAGAGCAAATTATGTGCATCGAAATGTCCCAAATTATTTTCAGTTTTTTTAAGTTCCGTTATTTGCACCTTCACTGTTGGTTCTTTCTGATAATTTATATTTGAATGTAAAAAAAACCTCTGTAGAGAGGACCTGCTTCAGATATATTAATAAAGTATTGACATTTAAAGGGCCCATTCTAGGGTAAAGATAACAACAATTCTTACTATTTAGATGATTAGTGAAAACATCACTATGATTTGTTTTATTCCAATAGATCTCTTTCATCTAAATCCCACACACTGAACCTTTAAATGGGTAAAATCTTTCTTCTCAGCTGCCAACATTCATTCATTCAGTCTGTCTTGACTCTGCTCACTTGCAACCTCCCTCCATCTCTCTCCCGTTCAAATGTACGTACATACAGAGCAGGGTCTATAGCAGGGACGTGAGATCCGATCACAGGTGTTAACAGGAGACTCATTCAGGACACATTTTAATGTCAGGCATGAACAGACGAATTTAACGCCGACCACTTGTGACCAATTCTCTCAGGTTGGATGTTAATACCAGGTCTTAACAGGGCCCTAGACAAAAAAAGCTCTAATACAGCTCCAGGTAAGGCCCTGATCCATCACAGTGGTTGATGTGCCCAAGTTTAATTGAGTGAACACAACAACCAAATGCAGTCTGCAGTACAGGAAGCTGTTTGCTTTGGACAGCTTTGCAACCTTCTTCTAATATTTGACCCTCAGCCAATTTATTATTGGACTGTACATCACTGTTATCACAATAGTTTTGACTCTTGCCAAGTCACCTATGGTTTAGTTTTCAACCTGACGGGTATTACGTAACTGCTCAACAGAACCACCCACAGTGTTTTCTCCACCACATCCTCTGCTCCTTCAGGTTCCTCTGCTGTGTTTAAGGGGTCCAGACAGGAGTACAGAGCTGTGGCTCTCACTGCCACAAATGCTAATGGCCTGTAATTACCAAATACATTAGTCCTGAGTGCTGCCCACACATTCAAAACAAGGGGAGGGGGAGTGCCAAAGGATCTGCTGGGTGTCAACAGCTTGGTGATTCACTAGCAATAGAGACTCCAGCCGCTAGCTGACTCACAGCCATTCAATCAATGGGACTGCGTGGTAAAGTAAGAAAGTTGCATAATTTCACAGCATCTCAGGATTCATAGATACGTCGTCTGAGCTTTTATACACATCAGATAACAATTCAAAACTGAAAATCACTAAAGACGACCTGAGGGAGCCTGGCAGCTGGGAGGACTTTGAATTTATCAAGGCACAAATGGTTATTCAGTGACACACAACAAACAAGGTGGAGAAGTCTTACCATTGCAGTGTGATTGAGGAGCTGCTCGTCAGTGGTCATGGCTAATAAGTACTCCTGGAGGATGCCCTGTGCCTGAGAGACAAGTCAAATGTTAGTAATAAATAATGCTTCTTCTGCAACATCACAATCACAGATTCACCTCACAGGCCAGATGAATAGAGCCAGCTTCCAGAGACACAAGACAAGCTTATATAAGAGATGAATTCACTTAGAAATGAGGCCTGGTTCCATCGCAACTCTTCATCTCCATCTCAGCATCAAATTGAGCTGTGGAATGTTGGAAAAGTAATTTAAAATTATAAACAACTGAAAAATTCTTCCACTGCAGCTCGACGGGAGAGACGTACCTCGGGTTACACAAGCACGAGGAGTTTGAGGAACACAGATAAGAATAAAGACTGAGACAACAATGAGGCTAAATGGACTGAGACCGGCCAAATGGAGCTTTCACAGAGCTGAAGACACTGTCCAGAGCCCCCAGGTCGCCATCCATCTCAAAGCACCCCCAGTGTTTATGCTGGGGAACATCCTAGGACGATTTGTACAGTCAATAGCGCATGACATGCTGTTTTGATTCCTAAATATAACTGTTCACTTCCTGGGGTAGAGAGTGCACTGAATCTCACTTGACGTGGGCTTAATCTTTATGTGCCTGCAAAGGAAAAGACCTGACGCTGGAATGTGAACGGACACTGGCCAGAAAATATTATATATTGAGACCTAATTCGACCACAGCAGGACCGATGATGTGTCCAACGCTCATGATTTTTACCGCAGTGTCAACATGGAGCTGTTGACCTCCGCTGTTTGTCATCAGTGCAGCTAAGCCCACATGTCAGCATGACACGAGAGCCACCAACTTTAGTCCACACACATCTTTACTCTTTGGGAGGATGTTGACAGACGGTGCTCTGTGTTATAGGCAGAGCATTGATACTTACAGCTGATGTGTGGTTTAAATAGTGACGTTACTCCTCTGTATTAGCATAATACCAGTGCTGCCTCATTATTTAATGATGTGATGAGCTCCTGCAACAGTATAGGGACACTATGTAAAGTTAGGGCCCAATGGCACTGACCTCTATTGAAATGGAAGGAATTATTATGAATTAATGAAGCAGCCCCTGCACTACGTTACATACATTCATGAAACTCGGCAGCACATAGCATGCTAGGACATACAAAAAAGCCTCTTGGGTCTATAGCCTTAACCCAACAGGTATAGTCGGCCATATTCAAACTCCTTCTACAGAATTGATCAGATTCACATCAAAATCTCTGTGTGCAATCAAGATACGTATGATTCAGTATGACACAGGAAGTTGTTATCACTTCACAGTGCACTCTCAGATCTGCTGCAAACTTCACGTTTGATAAAACTCCTGACCTTAATACATGTACGTGCCAAGACTGAGTAGGTGTGGCAAAATGGCTCCCACTCCAACATTTCTACGCACCACGTTTTATCTACACATCTAAAATGCGGTCGGCATATGTAACATGCCCGGACATGAAATGGGGTGCAAGGGCCTGTTCAACGCTGCTTACAGCTTTAATTTCACTTGAATCCAGTCTAGATGATGCATGACGGACTGCTTGTGAGACAAAGTTTGGAATCACATTCACTGGCTTTATTCATGTCCAGCTCACAGCCACTTGCATCCTGAAACAAGGGCATCACCTGCCAGAACTCACTGTTTTATCTGGAAAATGCAAGCAACATTTAGATGGTAAAAATGAAGCAGCAACCTTAACAGCCACCATGTGTGCTCTTCTGCTAAACACTACAAAGATTTCATCCACGGACCTCTGAATTTCCCTGTGCTACCACCATCATCTCTAGCTCTTGCAAAACCGTGGATGAAAAGCTTGAGTACTTCTACTGCCCCCTGGTGGTGGTTTGACACACACGGCTCCCTCACATGCTAGAGTCAGTGGGTGCAGATGGAAATGCAGAATCCATCGTGAATGACAAGTCAGCTCATGTCATTTTATTGTCAGGTCAACAGCCTCAGGCTTTGCCGACCAGAACTGAAATGTATTTTTTTGCTCTTCTGGGACTGTCTGGTTCAATTGCATTCACAGATGGGAAACTCCTGGCTGACGGTGCAATAATAATCCTTGAGACTACTCCTCATTAATAATTCAAGACAATTTAGACAGAGAGAGAACCCATAAGCATCATAAAATGGATAGCATCCCTTCCTCTCCTGAGCAGTCTGAAGGGAGCCAGTGTGGCACTGTGTTGTCTGGCAGATGGCAGAGCCAGGCTTTGGCCCTGAGTCCAGCACAGAACAGGTGGGCTGAAGAAAAACATGCAAATCTCAGAGACTGATAAAGACAGAGAGAGGGGGAAAGAAAGAGGTCAAAATAAAATGTTGAGTAATTAATAGTTTCACCAAAATAACCTTATTCTGATTGTTCAAACCAAAAAAAAAGAAAATGGACAGGTTGTCTTAAAGGAGAGCAGACAAGAGAAATAGTTTCTACACATTCAGCGTTGTTGATTCCATTTCACCGTTCACCTACAAAGTCAATAATGTTGTCATCACAAGAAAAAGAATAAGACGAAACAAATAGCTAAAATATCTCCAGCCCTAACAACACCCATACAGCACCACCCAATGTGACCTTTTGTTTGGCCCAGCCTGCACATGTGCACGTGTGTGTGTGTGCATCACTCACAATAGCACGGGCCTCTGCAATGAAGAACAGTTCGGTGAGGGCTCTGTGAAGAGGCAGCAGCACAGTGATGCCGGTGGGATCCTGGCTCAGGCTGTTTTCCATCGATATGAATAGCTGCCACAGAGGTCGCAGCAGCGTCAGCTCACACGCTCTGTTAGTAAAACAACATGGACACACAAAAAAGCAAAGCTGAAAATGAAATCTCAAGCTCAAATTTAAATTGAGCTCAGAAACAGATGAATGTGAAAAGAGTCTCCGAGTGTGAGAACACAAACATCGTTCAACACAGCTTAAATGTGGATATTTTAAAAATGAAATTCAAGTCTTCAGGTTTTTTAACTGAACTTGGTTTAATTTATCCACCTCACTTTTTATTTATCTTAGAATGTTTTACAGAAAAAAACTATTTGATTCTATTATATTCATTTATTTATTCAATTATTTACTCATTAATTTCCTCAGAATTGTTTTCATTTTGAAACATTACTTTTTTTCCTCTGGATTCACTTAATCCTCTTTTAGTTTTAATTTATTTTATCTCTCTTTCCTGCTTCTGGTGGTTCCTCATTTCAAATTCGTGAGATTTACAATATTGTTGTGTTAGTGTTTATTTAGCTCCTGTTCATTTTGTATTGGGCTGCGAATGGATGGGTGAATGAATAGTATTGTTTTTAATCACACCTTTCTATTGAAAAAGTGCTAAACAAATAAAGTCTGGATGTTAGGGCCTGATTAAATACCAATGTAAATCTACCTGAAGTAAAAGACAAAACTTTTTCCCCACATCGGATGTCCTAAAGTCTTAATTTCACATTTAGTGACGTGTTTAGCACAACCCTCCCATAAATTGTGTAATGTTGTCATTGGGACCAGACAGTGGCCAAGTCATTCCTGACATATGCAAATTTCTAAACACATCCTTTACCCCGTTTCCGTGGTAACTTCCTCTACCACAGAACTACAGGAGGGATTAGTGAAGGCTTTTATGCAAACTGTGTGGAGCAGTAATCCTGCACCTCCATGGAAAAACACTGAGGTAAAAATGGGAACTGGATCCTCTACACCAAATTCCTTTACTTAGGTCTCAGTGGATGAGCCTGATGCCCAAGTAAAAACCTTTGTGCATTTTATTGTTCATGTCGATACATAACAATACAAGTCTATAAATTTAAATGAATTTAAATGGCAAAGACTCAGAAGTAAAGAGATAGAAATATACAAATCCTGGTCGTGCTTACGTCTGTGATTGACACTGTAGGAGGCGGAGCAACAAGTGAATGGCTTTGAGTCGCTGGTTCCCGGTCTGGCGACAGGCCACGCCCACCTGCCACTCCCATATGTCAGCTAGTGGCAGGTGACTGAGCGCTTGGTCATCTGCTAACATTTGCTTCAGTATCTCAAACCCTAAAAAAAAAAAAGTGCAGAGAGGATGATCAACCTGATAACCTCACCCACCTCATTTTGAGGTCAATCTGTATTTTACTCGTGTAGAGTTACTGAAACACCTTAACGCAAAATATAAAGGTGTCTTCATGTTCTAATGTAGAGTACCTGTCTGGAATCGTCCTCTGTGACCTCCTGTCACGGTTAACTTGTAGCCCCACTCTGTGTTGCTCATGTCCGACATAAATCTGTAGTACAGGGTATCACCTGAGAGAAACCCACACAGCAGGCTCATCATGTTGGTCAAGTGATTTAGTGATGAACAGTAAACACAACACAAAGACATAAATGACTTTTGTTTTTAATTTCCTCACCAGGGATCTCAAAATCGGACCATTTCTGAGGGGAGCCACTGAAATTGTGGACATCCTGGAGGAAATCACTGCTGCTGGACATGATGAGCTCATCACAACCTTCCTCTGTGTGGCAGCGCGAGTCAAATTTTACTGAAAGGTAGATCGCTCCTGGGATGTGCACCTTGTCCTGACAAAGACAAAAGATGGACACAGAAAAGTCTATCAACTGATCGAAAAAGGTTGAGTTCAGAATACCAAAACATGATAGTTCATATGTCAAAGCTCACGATTTACGGACACTCTGCGGTCCAACTGTATGACCCGACAGCACTGTGCGTTGCTGTCGGCTCCTCCAGACCAGCTCTGGGCCAGTGTTTTTGTCAGAGAAGAAGAAGTTGAAGCTTGTTTGCTTACTATGCTAACAAGGAAGAAACATGCTGTGCAAATACTAGCAGCTATAAACTATATTTCCAACTATTGTGCTTTGCCATTTTGCGTAAAAGCAGTGAGGGAAAAGGTGCTGATTTTAAGGAAACAGATATACTGCACGACAAATGACGGGCAACAAATCTGAAAACATTAATTTTTGTTGCACAACAAATCACGTCAAAATCTGGCTTAAATCGCAGTGTGTGTCCGGCTCTGAACTAATACCATCTGTAGCTACACAACCTCCATTGTGTAGCCAGCTCAAAGGCTGATTTTGAGAAAGTAGTAGAATAAATAAAATATTAGAGAAAAAATGCATCATTTACTTACCTCAAAGTTGGTATTGTTGTCATATGGGTGTTTGGACTCTCTGACCTGCACGGCCATACCTGGCTCCTCCATGAACTGGCAAGCAGTGAGCGAGAGACTGCACAGCATACTCTGACTGCAACCTTTAAGCACCCTCTGAAGAATCTGACCAATAACAGAATATCCCCATCACATTAATCCACAAAACACTTATAACGTATCATATGTGCATAATCATTTGCATATAAGACAAACTTTTATTTACCAACAGGAAGAAAAACTCCTACCTTCTCCCAGAGCGGCCTCTCCTCCAGCTGCATCAACATGTCCAGGATGTAGGCCATGTGTGAGGCTCCGCTCAGTTCCAGGGCCTCTTCACTCAGTGCCGTCTCCGCAGGCCAGTCAGCCAGCAGCGAAGCCAGCACATGGCGGGCGTACAATGTCGCGATGGCCTGGTTGACTTTCACCAGATACTGACGGACTGCCCGATTACTACGCACATCCAGTTCCTTGTGCAAAAGAGCTGAGCTTTTCGTGCGCCTCTGTTTGGCGTAGCTGAGCTGTAAGTCGCTCTCTGAATTGGTGATGAGCTTCTGGGCCACGACGTTGACCTCCTCTGTGGCCTTTTCACAGTGACTGGGTTTAGACTGAGGGATGAGGACAACGATGAAGATATGCAAAGAAACTGTCGTATGAAAAAGAACGTTCTCTCATTCGATTTTATCTTTTTATGTCACAGTTCCTACATATTAGTAATGATCCAAACAACCACTCCTAATCAAAGCAAAGCACTGACTGAAAAACTGTGTAATGTGATTAGATATTCAAGATGTTTTCTATTTAAAAGAATTTAACACTCACCACACAGGACACCACAATCATATCAGTGTCCACAGCCTTGGTGTTCCTCTCCTCAGAGCTAGGCCGCCTGTTGGGCTGCCACTTCTGAGCCAGCGTACGGATTGTCTCGTCAGTTTTTATCTCTTCTCCATCAAATCTGACAATAACAAAAAGGCACAATGAAAACAATGTAGCCAGGTTCTGGTGGTTCAATTGGCCATGCTGGATCATATACAGATATGAGAGTATTTAGAGAAAATCTCCATGTGGAAGTTGATGCTGACCTCTTCTGCACTTCCAGGAAGAAAGAGTCGGTTCTTTTCATCTGCAACTCATACATGGCTCGCAGGATGGGCAGAGGGGCGTTTAAGGCATCATGGGTGATCTGTGTTGGAAAAAAAGGGACTTTGGATTATTGTATTGCAATTGCATTATATCTAGCTGCTCATATTATGAACAGTTTCGCTCATCACCTGGAAGCAAATCTTTGTCTCCTCATCGAGACCCTCCAAGGGGTCGGGCCTGTTGACGTCAGTTTCATCGGCACAGCAGCTGGAGTGGTCCGAGTCGTGCTCCTTGTCCTGCTCTCTTTGGTCTCGCTCGGGGTCCTGGGCCATGGAGTGGATCTCCCTCTTTGATGAGTAGAGCATGATGGAGAGGATCTCTAGATCTCGCAGCAACCACAGCTTGCTAAAGCCCGTCCCCTTGCTGCACTTCCTCACCAGCAGCTGAGTCAGTCCTGACTGCTGGATGGCCTCCTGAGCTTCCTCCACTCCGTGCTTCTAAACAAGAGGATCACAAGGAATCAGAAAACTTTTTTTTATGATTTTGATCATCTATGGCAATTACTCCTGTGGCAGCTCCAGATATTACCACCGACAGGTTAGATTTTGGAGTGGGGATGAAATACAATATTACTCCACTACAGTGGATTAATGAACTAAGGAATTGGCTTTGGTCTGTAGCCTGTATTGATTCTCGTTGTTGCAAATGAACTATGTTCATTCTTTGCCTGTTGTGGACTGCATCAGTGATATTTCTTTGTATATTGTGTTGTCTCTATGTTTCAGTCAATTTATTTTGCATGTTTTTTTGTGGTCTTTAGTAACAAACCAGTGTCTGCCTCTGGATCAATAAAGTTAATCCTATCGCATCATATCCAAAGTCACGGCAGGTACCTTGAGTGTGTTGTAGAGGCCTTTAAGGGCCAAGGACAGGACCCAGGAAGCCTCCACAGCATCAGGAGAGCCATTGTCCAGACTGGTCTGCAGCAGGTGGCTGATGATGGAGGTGAAATTGCTCAGGTAGCGGCTGAGCAGCGTCTTTGGGGATCCCTGGTCCTCTGACTGTCCTGGCAGGCTGGCTGGGGTGGACTCCTGAGACTGGATGAGCTGGTAGTCCTTCACTATGGAAGAAGGAAAGGCTCAGACACTGCTTATTCCATATTCATTTCTTAACACTAGCAATGTTATTAGTGCTACTACAACACTAACCTGTTTTTCTCTTGCGTGTCCTAACGTCCACCACTGCTGCATGGTTCTTTTCCGTGAAGTGTTTGAGCAAGATCATGTTGTGCTGTTCATTGGCGTTATCAATAAACACTGTCTGGGTGCCCACACACAGCACCTGACAAACACACACACAGATATAAGTCACAATTGGCTTTGGAAAGTCAGGAAAAAGTTAACAACTCTATCCAGCTGTGGGTATTCTACCTACCTCAGGGAAGCCCACCAGCACCAGAAGGGTGAAGAGGTTGGTGCGCTTGAGAGTTTGCGGCAGCTGCTGAACGCAATGATCAGTGAAGGCAGCGATGACCGGGCTCCACTCAGGACAAGTGTTCAGACTGTGTAGAATATCTGCAACTGTGCACGCCCAATCCAGACCAATACGACTGTGCAAGAAAAGAAAACAATTACAGATGATGGGGGGCGACTGCTTGTTCAACACCTGTTAATAGAACAAACAACAATAGAACAACAATCTCTTAATAAACTATTTATCAGATATGGTGTTAATGGAGTTGTACAAATGAAACAAACACACAAAGGAAAGCAGCATGTCTTCAATTCACACAGGAATTAAGAAACAATGGTTACAACATTTCAGTTTCATTAAATATAATTTGTATAATTACAGTTTATAGACATGCAGCCTTAGATCCAACATTTAACTTTTATTGTGCAATTTAACAAAGTAGTGCCAATGTTGGCAATGATGAAACTGAAGCTGCCAGGCCCACGTCGCAATTTAAAAACAAGCATGAACATGCAAGTAACGATATTTTACTTATTACTGTGACTAAATTATGTGAAATGCTTTTTCAAAAATCTGAAAAATGTTCTGGTGCACTGGTGATGACTGAATGGAATGGTTGTTTAATTTTGAAGCTTATCAGTTAGCTAACTTTGTTTCTAAATATTGGAAAAAGTGTTTTAGATGCTACGACTTTGGTTTCTTTCTTTCTTTTTTGTTCTTTTTCTAAGTAATGCTGTCAGGTCGTCTATCAGTCCTTTTCAATGTTCATTTCATTTGATCTATACAATGAGAAAAAACCCTGGTATCATTAGGTTTCATGTGTTATACCTGTCTAAACAGACGGCTCCGAGGCTGAAAAGCAGCTGAGTGGTCCTCCAACCCTCGGTGTCTGAAGTGGCGGCCTCTCCTTGTGTCAGCAACTCGTATTTATCAGCTAGAGCCTCTGTGACTGCAATGTCGGCCTCCATTGGAGGGATTCTGAGCAGCAGCTGACCCAGAAGTCCAAGCGTGAGGTGGTAGGTCTCATTCAGAGAGCCAGCGTTGGAGATGACTGCTCTGAAAAGCTGCGGCAAGATGGAACTCAGACTGGGCAGACACAGGGTGCAGCCCTGAGGATACAGAAAAGACAATATAAATGTTATTTACAGCATTTTTTAAAAGTAAATACTGGAGCATTTTAGTGAATTGTAAACATTTTAGGAACATGAGTGTATGTTGCGTACAAAATAATTCAGTTAGTCTGCCGTAAGTGATTTTGGTGTAATTGTTTAATCTGTACATTTAAACTATGGCACTAAAGTCATAAAGCATAGGGTAAGGTTTTGGGAAATCTGGTTGCTAAGATAAGATAAATACTGCTCTTTTATTTGCCCATATGAAACTATAGCCAGCAGCCAGATAGTTAAGATGTTCATAAAGGTCAAAAACAACAAAATGCACCAAACAGCAACTTTATAGATCAATTAGTAACCTGATGTATCTCATTTGTTTAATCTGTAATTTGCTGACAATTTCTTGGTCAGGAGCAGTGATTTTCTGGAGTCTCTGTTGGTTGATCTAAGGTGAAGATGAAACTCTAAGAAGTTTTTTTGTGTCCATATAAGTAATCAAATGGCACATAACCTTGAATAAAACCCATGGTCATTAGTGAGCTTTAGAGGTGCTGGTAGGAGGATTTGTCTTTTATGTCTATTTAAACTAAGCTACGATAACTGGCTGCTGGATGCAACTTCATACTTAACAGACAACTAAATGAATGTTTGACATACTGGTTTGGCTGGGGGCAGCATGGCTGCAAGAAGTCCAAGGATCCTCTCTCTGGAGCATTCTGAAAACACATGCTCCTGGAGGGGAACCTGCGGCAGCCTCTCATCAGTCTCCTTTACAACATCTGATGCTGGGGAGTTGATTGTCCCTGGTCCAGATTCAGATGCTGAGAGCGATAAAAGAATACATATGGTTGATCCTGACAACAATGGGGGAAAAAAACTGTCTTGATTGATGTAATCTCAGTACTTACGCCGGACCAGAGGAGAGAGAGGGTCCTCGCTGGACACAGAGGGTGTCTGGCTAAGACTTGGGGAATCCAGAGTGTCTTGAGTAACCAGCCTCTTTTTCTCTCCTTCACCCGTGCTTTGGGGCGACAACACCTCTGGAAGAGCAGGGGGAGGAGAGCCCACCTCCTTTGTCTTTTTCTCCTTGCCTGATGGCTTACACTGGTGGAGAGATGATGACAGCAATTCAGGAGATTGTTATATTGAACTATAGAATGCTATTTGCTATATTTCCTATATGATAGATTTAATAAAGTCTTACACCCCTGGGCAAATTAAGTTTTTTGAAGTAGTAAGTAAATACAACGCCTGCAGTAAACAGACATTGAAAACCAGCCTATTCCTTTTTTCAAGATCCCAAAAACGGAGAAAAGTAAACACCAATATTTGGTATGTGCAAACGTCTGACACCCCTCTTCATGCAAAACACTCAGACTTTGATTATCTTGTAAGGCTTTAATTGACTCATTAAGCAGGTTGAGAGCTGTAATTAGGAATTGTGACCTGATGACATTTAAACAGCTGATAAATCCTGTGACTCTTCAAACCTTATGGTAACAACCACGGGCTCCTCTAAGTAACTGAGTGAGGATCTGACAATGAAGTAAGTGATGCCCATAAAGCAGGAGGCTATAAAAAGATATTAAACTGCTTCCAGCTGTTCAAAGCACCATTAAGAGGCAGCAGTTACAGCGAAGCCTGCAGGAGTCAAGAAATATAAAACTGGAAAACCAAGAAAACTCTTCGATGAAACTCCACATTTGCTGGAAGAAAAAAGCAAAGGAAAATCCTGCAAAGACAGGAGTGGTGGTGCACCATTCTATTGTGCAACATTAATGCCCAACAGCTTCAACATGCAAGAGTCATCAAAAATTCAACATCAGAAGGATACAAAGGAAATTGCAGCGATACAGGAAAGAATGGATTCCATTAAATATCAGCACATTCTGGATGAAAATGAACACTGAACAGAGTTTGGCCTCTTCAACAGGACATTGATCTAAAGCAGAACTGTCATTTGTGTTTGTGAAGTTCAAATGGTGGTTGTTGTTACCCAATATTAGTTTACAAATGTGTCAGGTGACAGTGTTGGTTTTGAACAAGTGACAGAGGTCAGAAGAGGGTGATTAAATGAATGCACGCAGCTATGAAGAAAGATTTGACCAATTTGAGAAAAGTAATGCATGTGCACTGAGAAGTGTAAATTATAATGATTCATTATAAAACTGTAGCAGTTTAGAGGACGTCAGCTGAGCTGGAGGTTCTTCATATGTGGCCCAGGACGCATTTGCATTCACAATGCAAAAAGAATGTGGCCAGATACATTCCAGACAACCTCCCAATGTGATTTGAGTGTTCGGATCTCAGGACACATTCAGGACGGATTCAGACCTGTACAGAGCTGACCACTTGTTGTTGCATCACTCAGGACAGATGCCGATATCAGGTCTGAACAGAGTCGAAGATCATTCAGTCTTATAATTCTCCTGTTCCTCACCTTGTCCCTGGGGGATGATGGGGAGCAGATTGCCGCAGTGCTGCCTGGGAGAGAGGAGGTGTCAGTGGCTGTACTGAGCTCCTGAGAGGACTCTGGAGAGACTGGACACAGCTCACTATCAGAGGCTGATTCATTGGAGGACAGCAGAGCAAGCAAAGCGGAGGACCGTAGACCTACACAGGAAACATAGAAGGGTTAGCCATAAAAGGGAAAAATGTAAATAAAAATACAGATTTGAAGATTCAAAGAAACATATTGACAAACGGATTAACATTGAGGCAAAGGCCTTTAACAATTTGTAATCTGAAAAAGCTAAATTACATTGTTGCACATAAATTCATCCAATCTGTATAAATAACAGTGAGAAAATGAATGACTAAAGGAAATCAAACCTCTCCCTCTGATTCATATTCAGCATAGACAAGAGAGTGGTATCTTCTCATCCAACTCTCCACTCTCTGGTTTGGACTTACCTTTGCCCGTCTGCCCCTTCAGCAAACAGTCAGTGATGAGTTGGGAACAGTGTGTCTGCAGGGCTGAGGCCTGGCTCAATGCGTTGCTCTCCAGCGACTCTCCACCCGTCTGCTTCTCACTGCTCAGCTCTGATGTGTGCAGGGCCAGAGCAGCAAACAGGAGCCAGGAGTAGTTGTGGATGTAGGGCTGGATCAAGCGGTGGCGGTCACTGATTCGTATGGTCACCATGGGGTACACTGTGATCCGATGGGTGGGCAGATGGCTGGAGATGGAGATTTTTCAAAATGACTTAGTTAACAAGTCTAAGGTGAAGGCCAATAAGCATTTCAACAAGATTAACCTTCAAATATGTCACCTGTCAGGATACTTCTTAGCATTGTAACACCCGAAGCACAGGTCAAAGTCTTCACACACGTTGCAGTTGATCCTACTGCCCACAATGAGGCCCTGACAATGGTCACAAGCATATTCCATGTTCACCATCTCGTGGTCATCCTCGTGGCCTTCAGGCTTGGCACCGCCTATTTAACAACGCACACATCCACAGTTAGGTTTGTGCGAAAGCTTTAATCCAATTTACTACTTATTAGTGCAGGGAGTGTGTGATTGCATGAGCAGTGTAGTGGAGTGTGTGAGCTCACTGAGGAAGCAGGTCTTGCAGAGGTCCATGTCCATGCACTGCAGACATCTATAGCGATGCCATGGTGCCATCCTCTCACAGCCATCACAGGAGATGACAACATTGAGCAGGTCACAGTAGCGTGCAATAAACATGTGCATCTGCAGAGAGAAACGATAGAAACAGGTATATTTATTTCCACAGCAATATCATCTTAATAGACATTTTTCCTTACCTGTTGCTTGTTGAACTTTCATCACACACAAACCATGTTTAAGACAAAGGGTTTTGGGATTATGACAGGATATTTAGCGTTTCCCACAGAATTCATTAATTCCATGGAGTGGAGATAATGGGGATGCACAAGAATGAAAGCCACTCAGATTCAGATTCAGAGGTAAACAGTCTAAAGAATGACACTGTAATGTATGCCACAACTGCAGCTGAAACTATGACGTCTGACTGAAAAGTGTTATGGATCACACAGGCAGAATGCGAGCAAGTGCTTTGCAAATAGTGCCGCAAAGAGCGCTGTACACACCAAGTTAAAGATCTCTACAAAATGTTTTGATCTATTTTGAAACTGTCTTGGGACAAATTAGAATATGTCGGCCCGCCTCAGTCTTGATAATTAATGGGAAAACCCTGAAATAGATGCTACCTCATTATATCCTCCGATGTTGCAACCCTTAATGTGTAGGTTTGTCTTTCTAAGCAGAAACAACATTTTAATGGGATGTGTTCGAGCTCTAGTTAGACATTTCAAAATTATGCTTTTGTGTGAGATGCCACTAACACGTGAAACCGGTTAGACATCAGCATATGTTAAGCAAATATAATGTTCACCAGAAACTATTTAAAATGCTTTTATCTCATCATGCCTTCCAGTATGTTATAAATTTTGTTTTACGGTTCTTTTGACTACTTACAAGACACTTAACGGTTTGACTCCTCGGTATATTGCAGATGGTTTATGCTGGTACTTTCAGATCCTCTGGCAGGGGCCTTTATCTGGCTGAAGGCTAAGGGGAAAGGTGTATTTGATATAAGAGCTAAGGCTCTGCAATACCCTGCCTGGGAAGATATGGTGGGTTGTGGAAGTAGCTTCCTTTAAATCAAGGGTTATAACGTACAGTTATTGTACCGCATTCCCCTCATTCTAGGTTTTATTATTGTAATGGCTGGTCAGGCTTCACAATTATAGTTTTTTTAAATTCTTCTGTGACTGTGGTTTAATTTGTCTTTGTTATTTATTTATGTGATTTTTCATCATAGTTGTGAAGCACTTTTTAACGTAGTTTTGAGAAGTGCTATATAAATAAAGATTATATTAGCATGTCACTATGACTATGTTAGCCTCTAATGAGTCACAGGGGTTCTTTGAGGCGTATGCTGAGCACATTCTCACAGAGCTGCTAGCACGGCTGTATACTCTTGTTATAACCTTGATGACAGAACTAAAATATATCTATTGATATTACATCTTTTTTAAATGGCAGGTTGTCTCTACATGCATTTCCTGAAGGCCTACATCTGCTCTATTATGCAAAAGGCACAGGAAAGACAACAGGGAGTAGAGAAGCACTTGGGGCCAGTCAAGTTAAACAGTGAGGGCCATTTGTTTTCCTTGGCAGCACTCAAAAGACATTTCTATTGGTTTTCTAATGATCTTAGCTTTATGTCTTTTATGCACTGGGATGTACAGTACCTTTCTCCTATCCTCCATGGAGTCTTCCTCATCGATTTTGTCGTACCACTTCTCAAACATTCCATCCATACATTCATCCATCCACTCCTGGTTCTTCTTGTAGTCTGTAATTTCATCTTCCTCTGTCCACTGACTGAAGATGAGATCAAAACCACAGAATGTATAAATCACCTCTGCAACTTGAATGGCTGCAATTTCACTGAGAACTTTTTAACATCTTGTAAAAGGAGGTGGGTCTAATATTACCTGATGGCGATGTCATGAACACTGATGTTCTCCTGGGACATGGTGAGCAGGAGGTCAGGAAGCTTGATGTTCAGGAAGAGAGGTAGGTCGTGTACCTCCCAGTTCATGTCGAGGAGGTGCAACAAGCAGGTCTGCACACATGACAGGGCTGGGAGCAGGGCTCTGGAGAGTAAGGATACAGGTTACACCACCTCCCCCACATTTTGAGTGAGACTAATCAATGCTGCAATCACATTTTAATTTCTGTGAATGCAGTTATGAGTGCACATGGTGGGTTGCAAAGATCGCTTACTTCTCATTGAGGCCGCTGAAGCCTTGTACCGCCTCCACAAGCATGAGCACCAAGTGATGGTAGGAACGCCTCACCTCCTCTCCAAGCTTCTGCCCACTGTCTGACAGGTGGGAGAAATAACTGAAAAGAAAAAACACAGGGAAATCTTGAGAGATAATACTACTGTACAGCTGATATTGGATACTACTACAAATGTAACAACTAATAAATAAAAACAAGACATTGCAGCATCTCTAATATAATCATTAATAGTAGGGTTAAGGAAAATCTATTTAAGCATAAGTCTGATTCACTTGTCTCTTTTTAACATTTCAGAAATTAGTCTACATTGAACAAAACAGAGTCTGACACCTGTGAAACAGATGTCAGATGTAAGATTTCCTATATATGTACCAGGTGAAGTCTTTCTGGCAGGCCAGTAGCTCCTGTAAGAACAAGATGCAAGGGGCTTGGAAAAGGTGTGGCTTCCCCAGGGATTGTAAACACTGCTGAACCATCTCCAGGACCTTGCACACACTGAGAGCCTGGGCTTTGTTTAGGGACAGTGTCTGCAGAATGCTACAGAGAGAAGAATCTGATTAATTCACCCGGTATGGAACAAATTATACGAATGCAGAATGGAACTTAGAAGGCAGAAGATCTGTAACCTTGCAGTTGTGAGAGACTGGTCCCTTATGAAGTTTAGGATATGTTTGAGAATTGGGTAGCGATCCTTGATGGAAGGGATCATGCGGGGCTCCTCTATAGATCGACAGGACAGGAGGCGTAGGCGTGCCCGACTGAATAGAGGTTTACGGGGGATGGTGGAGGGCGAGGCTGGCTCTCCTGTCTGGGATGAGAGGCTCTCTGATGAGCCTCTGTGGCCTTGTCGACTGTGCCCACAGGAAGTTGGGTTTTGAGCTTGAGCACCGGAGGAGTTGCTCCGTTCAATTTTGGCCTCACCACCTTCCTCAGCCCCTGCAGTCTGAGGTACCGGAGAGGAGCTGGGCTGGAAGTCTCCTTCTGAGATCGAACTTGAGCGTAAGAATGGCACACTGCTGCCCTCTGCAGCTTTGACAGAGTCAATGTCCTGGCATGTTACTCCACAAGGGGCAAATCTGAACAGCAAGAGGCTCTTCTCAATACAAATCTCAGCTGGGAAACACAAAGTAACAGAAGTGAGAAGAACAATTTTCAGGGGATAACATAGTTGCAGACACAATAAAGAGTGGGATTACGTTAGTCCTCACCTAATGTCTCCATAGTAAACTCATCAAGAATACTTTCCTTCTCTTCATTCATTTTGCCAACTAGATATCTCTGTTTCATCTCCAGCTGAAAGGAAGAAAAGACATTATCAGCACAATAGTCCAGCCACACAATGATAGTTAAATTCTGCATCAGATAATGCACAGAGATATCAATCCTGTCACTCACCATCCACGTTCTGATGCTGTCGGCTAATGAATACACCTGCACAAACTCTTCACTTAGACAGGATTTGCTGTCCTGATTAACTGCACATTTGAAGATAAAAATAGAGAAAGTGAGTCAACCAAGTAAAAAAAAAAGAAAAGAAAAAAAAGAATAAATATTGTGCTCTGTGACCACTGAATATAGGCATTACCGTAGGTCTTCAGGGCACAGTTGAGGGCTGGTGTGTGGTACACCATGGCTGCCCAAATGGCGTTCACAGCTTGGTCCGTCTTTGAACCAGCCGCTATCTCGTTCCTGATCGTCTGTTTTCTGCAGGAGTGCATGAGCTTCCTCATCAGCTCCTTTCTATTGTCTGTCAGTTCCTGTGAGGGGTTCCAACGAGCAAAGTCCTCCAGGAAGCTAATTAAGTCATCAGAAGACCATGTATTTGTCTACCACACAGAAACAGAAGGGGGGAGATAGTTACAGTGATTAGGAAAAGCAATAATATACTCCTTTGAAAGTAACTTAAAAAAACTGGATTAAACAGACTTGACTATACCTGATCTGTGGGTGTATTAGTATGACCCGTTTCCCTGGTTTCACACAGTCCGTGTCGCAGGATAGGCTTCCATAAAGGAGATGACTGAACGTGGGACATTTTCCAAGATGGAAGCTCTTTTACAGTGCGCATCTCTGAGAATAGACAGCAACCCACAATTGTTAGCTATTTAATCTGTCATCAAGAGTCTGCAAAATATTGAGTGATTGACAATAGGGCTGCATGCACGATTTATCGAAAATGTATCGTCATTGCATTATCAACAATACACTTGTCGCAAAAGACAGCAAAAACTGTGATAAATGGTGTTCCATGCACCATGCATTTGCTCTGCATGTCAATATATTTCATATATTTTAAATTGCAAGTCATATCGTCATCGCGATATTAAACAACGTTATCACGTTGTCTGTGATACTCGGAGATACTCTGAAATACTCTTCAGAAACGAAACCTCAAATCGTTTGTGCCTTTTCTATAATATAGCAGCCCTAATTTACAAGATTAGAAATGTTTATTCCCAAACTTTACACAGAGAGACCCTTCAGAGCAGGCCTTAGTCTGATAAAGGTTGTGGAAACGTTTTTTTTTTTACCATGAGGGGATTTCAGTGCCAGAGTTCTTGATGCAAGACGACCCATCAGACGAGCCACCAGCAGCTGTAAGTCTGACATCCAAGATATGGTGATGTCTGGCAGTCCCAGCGCTGTCACTGTGAACTTGTAACCCCACTCGTTGTTGCTGCTGTCAGAGTGGAAGAGGAACTGTAGCTGAGGGCCAGCGTCGAATGTCACTTTCTGAAGGAGCAAAGAGAAACAACAGATAACTGTAAAGAAATCAAGCAACAACCGTGTTTCACATGGAGATAAATTAAGAGGTTTCCCATATCCCACCTTTGGCCACTTCTCAGTTCCGACTTTCATATCGTAGCGGACCTTGCCTCCTCTAGAATCTGTGAATTCTAGGTAGTCGTACCTGTGAATATCAGGAATATAGGAGGGTTAAAAAAAATCCGTAAAGAGGATTTAAAAAAGAAAAGACACATTTGAACAATTTAAAGGAGAGTACCTCTTCTCTGTCTCACAACGTTCGTCAAACTCCACCTCAAAAGAGGAAGCACCGGGGCAGGCAAATATGTTGGTCTCATGGCGGCTGTTCTCATAGTTGTGAGGAGACTCCATCTTCCAGTTCCTCAGGACCACTGGCTGCTGGGGCTGGTGCCAGCTCTCTTGGTCCACCTGACAGTGACATGATGTGCAGTTAATGCTTGTTACACTAAGTGGTGGACAGCAACAGTACATTTCCTCAAGTGCTTTGTAATTTAATGTTTTTCACTTGAGTATTTCATATACTACTACTACTATGCTACTTTATACTACTGAAATGTTGTAATTTTTACTGCATTTTGTTTATCTCACTTACAGGTTTTGTGGATGAAGATATTTCCACAAAACATAAGATGAGCTCTGAAATCTATTGTGCAAATAGACTAAACTCCTCAACAGAATAGGAAATAGTTCAAATCAGATCCAACAATACCACTGACACCAGTCTAATATTGAAACAATAATATATATGTAATAATTCTATAATATCCAATCCTAAAATGGGTAACTTTATGTGCATTTTACTAATAATACCATTCTTACTGCAAGACTTTTTAAGTGTAATGGAGTACTGTTATATGCACTAGTATGCTGTATTGCTACTTTTACTTAAATAAAGGATCTGGGCACTTCTACCACCACTGGTTAAATTACTGTTAACTTCAAAACCCTCCATGACCTAAATACTGCACTCTCTACCTTTTCTACTATATTGGGATGGGAGGCTGTTTACATAAACATGTGCATTGACGTGTGTGAGTGGACTGACCTTAGAAAATATGTCTCCAGTGTCACTGGATAGACCTTTGAGCAGCTCGACCAGAGAGGAGAAGCTCTTCAGCAACACGCTGTGAGGGATGTCCAGAGAACACAGCTCCAGGAGGAAGATCATCTGATTGGAGAACAGCAAATATTATTCCTATTCACACGGCAGTGCCAAAATTAAAAGTGTGCAAGAGGAAACTTCTAAATCACAAGGTAATATGTATTACCAGTTGTCTGAAGACTGTGGCTAGGATGGAGCTGCCAAGTTTGTCAGTGATTTGAGCACCAGTGTATCTCTCCAGCAGGGAACCGAGAATCGTCTTGATGCTTCCAAGGAACTGATCCACATCTAATAGGAGAAAACCATAGATTGTCCCATCAAAGTTGAATTTAACAAATTCTACGAAAAAAATATGAACATTTTTTATGTCAGCAATGCAACATTGTCACTGTATCTCACATTTTATTAGGATGCCTCTTGCCAGCTCCATAGCAACAGCTGTGGAAGTTCCTCCTTTGAGCTGCAGGTAGCACCATGAGAGCAGACTACCCTGTAGTGCCCAGAACAAGGACAACAGCACCGTCCTACTGGCTTTTCTACTCTCATCCACCATCATAACCTCACACTGAGAGAAAGAAGATAGGTGGAACAAGGAGGATCGTTATAAAAGCAGATGAATACATTGTGATTTCACTTCAAGACATTAAGAGATAGAAGGCTTTGACACAGTTTAGATGTGTGTGAGCGCAGCAGAGGTCTCACCTCTCGTGTTGCCACCAGCAGCAACGTCTCCATGACTGACAGTATGGGGCTGATGTCAAAGTCTGAGGGAGCTCCTTTAGGTGGGAGCAGGAGAAGGCCACTTGGATCCTGGTCACTGTGAAGAGAAAACCCAGATGTAACTGATTCATTGTGATCCGAGTGTGTGTGAGAATATGATGATGTGTTTACATGCGCTTACCTGAAGTAATTACAAAGTGATTCAAACGTCACCTTGACTGACTCCGGCTGATCCTCTTCAGTAATATTCTTCTGTAAAAACAAGATTATTTATTATATATATCACAATTAGAAATATTTGTCATCATCTTTATTAAATGGAGCTGATTGGTCAAGGTCAACAAAATAATTGTCTGCTTCTGGGTGTAAATCATGAGTGTGCAGGGTATGCATCGCCCCTCTGACGCCTTTCATTGCTTTTGTAAACTCACCATCATGTGGAAGAGTTTGTCTCGTCTGACGTGTTTATCAGGGAAGAAAACAGCAGCTCCATTAAGAATAGACTTGACTGCTTCCTTGTGCAAAGCTTTTTCCACTAATGATTCACCCTCTGGACCATCAACAACTAAAAACACAAACATGAAAAATATTAGCACTACATTTTCACAAATTCTTCTCAATCATGACAAGTTACTACTATCCACTGAATGAAACCTTTTAAACAAACTTGTTTTCACCTCTTAGTAGCATAAAAGCTGATGGGTTCTTACTTTGGCAGAGGTGAGTGTAGAGTTCCCACACAGCCCGAACACTGTCATTCAGAGGCTCTCCACTGCTGGACGTGGATGGACCAGCTGCTGCTGCGGCTCCTTCATCTCGCACTCTGCTCTCCTCTGGGCCCTGGGACTCCACTGGGTTGGGTAGCATGGGAAAACAGTTCTGCATCAACTGCAGCAGCAGAACCCTGCTCTTCAACACCTCCTCACCCTCACTGAGACAAAGACATAAGCTTGATTACAAGTGAGACCTCAATATATTTGGATGTCTGCGACCGAGTACTGGGTCTGATCAATCCAAAAGAGGTTTGGACACATATCACTAACACTCACATCTCCCTGAGTTTACTGTAGAAGTTCCAGAAGCGATTGAGGCTGAGACCACTGAAGTCCAGGAGATACTTCTGCTTGAAGTGAGAGGCATCCTGCAGAGTCAGATGTGAAAAGAGGAAGTGTGTGCTTGCTTATCTTATTTACTCTCAAGTCATTTTAAAGAGAGAAAAAGATGTTGGAAGACTTTCAAGCAGTAATCAGTAGTTACCATGTCTCGTGTCAGCTGTTGAATGAAGAACAGTGTTTTGTTCAGTAAACACAGTCCAGTGACCACATCACGGTCAATGCTCTCTCCCTCTGGACTGAGGTCGTCCAGGTCTCCCAGCTTCTCTGCCCCAGGGCACAGGTAGCCACTGAAGCTGATGGACTGCACACCGAGGCGCTCAGCCGAGTCCTGCCTGGTGCAGAGGAATTTCACCATCAGGAACTGGAAGGACAAGGAAACAGAGGTTAGTAATAAAGACAGTGTTCTTTGAAAACCTGTTTACAAATGTATGCTCTCATTTTTAGGAGGAGTATCATACATTTTCAGCAGAGCTCTGTAATTTCTAGCAGACATTAATCTTACTGTACATAATGCATTTGTTGGAGACTATTTTCAGCTGCATATCAATATACATCTGATGGTGTTTTCAGTATTTACAACAGTAGAATGATGGTTTTGGGATAAGCTCAAAATTATATGTAGTGCCTATAGCAAAGTGATATATGATGTACAGTATCAAGTTTTTAATGATTACTCACAGAACAATTCATGGATCTTGATTTTAAAAAATCAGGCATGTTTAGGGGACTGATATAAATGAGTGTGCCACTATACTGAGCGCCATTGTAGTTTAAAAAGTGACTGGATGAGGGATGATGTACAAATAATGAGTTTGAAATGATTGAAGTCAACTAAGTAAAATCACATCTTAGTTTTAACTGGATGCAGTTTGTACCTTTGCAACTCGACACTGCTGCAGCTTGATCTCTATGTCGTTCCAGTCCTCCTCAAGCTCAAACCAGCCAATGGGCTCGTCCTCAGACTGTGCTGGAATCCTTACACTGCAGGTCAGATGACAGCATGGTGTGTCAGCCATTCACATAAACTACTGAGGCAGACCCCCACACTGCTGAGGGGGGTCCACAATACAAGAAAACCTAGTCCACCTCACACCAAATTCTTATTTGATTGGACCATTCTATGTTGTTATTTGCCAATCATAGCCGTCTTCTCCAATTATAAGTATTTCAACTTGGAAATTGAAAACATATTAAAATCATAAACTTAGTTACAAATGGATTCTTACTTGTCTTGTACAAACTCTTTGTAGTCCGTGTAGTCCCACTCATCATACTTTTTGAACCTCTTGAAATGTTTCTCTGCATCAAAGGGGTCTTCGTCTTTGTAGGCAAACACAAAGCCACATTTTGCACCAATGGCTCCTTTTCGCACCTTTTCACACAAACCAGAGAGAAAGTGTTATGCACAGCAATCCTCCATCACTGTCTGTGTTATCACACACTCTGTGAAATCATAGGGAGCCTCACTTTGATCTTCATCTGAGTGACCTGGAAGTTGCTCTGGTCCTCTGTTGACAGGATCACACTGGCTTTTTTCCTGCCGCTCTCTGTGAGAAAACCTGAGGAGGAACAAACACTCAGTTATAGATGAGAGGGGGCATGTGTGTATTTAAAACTAAAGATCTACTTTTATTGGTCTCAGTTGTACCGTCTCCAGTTGAAGATTCTGTGAGCATGTTCTCTGGTCCTGATTTCTCCTCTTTGCTCTTTACATCACAGGCCTGTAGGTGCAGCTGGAGGGGCTTCCCTGCAATACATCATAAATCATTATAGCTGTTATCAGACATGCACTGAACTCCAGATAGTCTCCTGAAATTATCCAGAGAGGCTGTATGTGAGAACACAAATGTACGAGTCAGTTGCTATGGACAATCTCGGAAAACTCGTCTGAAGGAGCCTATGTGAGAAAACAGCGGATTATCAGGAGGATTCCTTCCGAGGGAGCTTTGTGTTAATGTTTCAAACATGCAGCACTGTAAACAAAAACATGTGACCTCCTCAGCAGAATTCATACCTTATGTCCTGCCTCATGCAGGCTGTACCCCCCCTCACCTGAACTCACAGTTTGTGTGTTATTGTGAACGTGTGTGAGTGGAGAATCACCTGCTGCATTTGTTCATATATGAAAGGCAAACTCCGGAGAAAGTCCAGAACCCATTGTGGGGACATTTTCCAGAGATCATGTCTGACAACGGCTTATGTCATCTATAACACTATTTTTCATCAATAATTCCATCCCTAAACTAAGAAGATATGATAACCTCACTGAACTGCAGCTTCATAACAGATATAGCAGTTTTCGCCTCCATAGTCCACAAATGCATCTCCTACATGGCTGCGAAGCACTTTCTCTCCTGAGTCTATGGTTTCAATTGTCCGTGTGTGAGTGAGAGTGACAGAGGGAAGGAGGATCGGTTACGTTACCGTTGCGGTAGAGTAGTCTCAGCCTAACAGAGGCCATAGACACGATGAGGGTGGAGGCCCGGTACTCTGTCTCTAAATGGTCACTGAGGCAGGACAGGGCCTGGAGGACTTTGGCCACGCTCCCTCTGGCCAGAGCGAAGGCCAGGAGGGTCAGTTCTGCATCAGGACTTACACAGCAGCTACACAGAAGCAAAAAAACACACATAAGTTTGTTTTCAAGCTAACCTTAATACGATGCTTACATGAGCAATTTGTCACTGAATCCACTGAACAATCCATAACCTACTCCTATTTTTTCAAAGTTTGGTTCTAATGCTCCAGCAGCTTCATCATATTAAATACAGTATATTTGCATTTGGTCCAAAATAAGGTGCAAACAAGCTATTCTCAATAGAATTTGGATTTTGGATTTCTTTAAACTAAACAAACTGAAGTTTTCATAAGAGAAAAATGTTAAATTAGGGAAGGTTTCATAATTCATCTGAAGTATTGGGGCCACTTAAAGGGAAATAATCTTGAGATTGTAACGTTAGAGGAGGATTATCAAAAGACCAGCCTGTTGCATCTAACAAAATGAGACAGGAAGAGCATTCAAAAATACTCTTGTAACATCAGCACCACATTAACATGTATTACGTCTATGAAAAGATTGAGCAAGAGACTGTGTCTGTTCTAAAGAAAGAACCACACAGACTTTGAGGAATTTGCCTCTTTCGTGGAGGAGGAAATGTTTGATAGTGGTCAACTGTAGGGCTATTGTTGCTATTTAAAAGGGGTTTTGTAGTTTCACTCTCATTGGTTCAAGAAGTGGAAATCTGGTGAACATCCTTTTTTCTCAGAATATTATGACTTTTATCTCATGACTTTTAAGTACTAACCTCGTGATATTGTGATTGTTTTTCTTGTTACAATTTACAACTTAGTCTCATAATATTATGACATTAATCTCGAAATCTTCGATTTTTTTTCTTCAGTGTTGCATTAATACGCTGTCTGCAACAACTCAAAATAAAGATTTCAATATTTACATTTCTTACAATTACATAAATAATTGATTATTTCTGTCATGTTGTTGCTGCAATCGTTGAATAAAACCGTGACCACCACTTGAAGATTTACGGTCCATCAAATGGAAAGTAAATGTGTCGATAGATGGTGCCCGAGACAACCAACACTTTGATTTGAATGTGGCATGAGCTCAGTGTGGCAGTGATGGATGAGTATGAGGGTGTAATGCCTGCAGGTCATTACTCAGCTATCCTGAGCAGAAATCCATCCACCTCCTCCAGGATATTCAAAGAGAAGAACTTGGGGAACTCTGTGGATGACGGCGTGAGGGACAACGGCGGCATATGCCGTAAAGCTTTTCTGGGAAGAGAAAACAAACCAAAGCTCAGAACTCAAGCACTGCCCAGAAAAGAAATTACACCTTGCAATAGAACTGAAACATCATATTGCTCAAAGACTGTCACACTATTTTAAATCATACAAATGAAAAAAGAATGAGTAGTGTGTCTTACTGTGTGCTCTGTAGGACAGTATGAGCCAGTGCAGGGTTTGTCTCCATGGACGCAGTGACCAAGGAGGTGAGGAGAGACAGGTACCAGATGGCCGAAGCGTCAGAAACAGACACCTCTTTGCTCTTGGTAATCTGATAGCCGAGAGTCTTCAGGCCATGAATCCGTGTGTCACATCCATCACTCAGGCACCGCTTAATGTTGATTTGGATGTCTGGGGTTTGGTGATGAGATAATGTGGTTATAGCGGACTGATGGAATAGACTGTGCAAAAATGCTGCAGTCACTACTTCATCTTCCGGGAAGGATGCAAAATAGATGTAGACTCAGGGAGTCAGGAATCAAACAGTACACTTCTTTGAACAATGAATTTCAATCTGCTAATTGTAATCTAGGAAATAATTTGCAGTAAAAAGCATGTGGCCATTTACAAAACTGAAACTAACGCTGCTTCTGATTTAGCCTGTAGTTTTTTACTCGAGCCATGAGTGGAGAATTCCACTTATTATAAATTACAAAAAAAGACCATAAAATGATAAACAAGCTCTTTATAAGAATAGCATTACATAAAAGTGAAGAGATATAAACCAAATTGGATGATAACAAATTTTACTTTGGAAATTGCCTGATGCCTGTTTGCAGTGTGTAGTCGCACATCAGAACTCACAGAGCAGCTACACAGAAGCAAAAAAAACAATGCATGATATAGTTTTGGGGTGTATTTAATCATATTAAATTCAATTTGATAAAAAAAAATAAGTGAGTAATATAAAGAATACAAAAAAACCCAAATGCATTTGGAAAGTGCTTGTGGCAGTGTGGAGTCAGTGACACAGTTACAGACCAAGTTACCCTCATCTGAAGGAAGCCTCTGCAGCACATTGAAGACTCACATAAACCACTGCCACTTTGTAACAAATGCAGAGATGGAGAGCAGCTGCGCAGACTTAAGAATTAAACAACAAGCTAAAGAGAGTTTTGAGAGCAACAGTGTTCGCTGGTTTAGAGTTTAACGAGGATAAATCTGTGGGAGCACAGGCTATGGTTATTACCGGCCATTGTTGGAGAATGATCAACATTAGAGAAGGTGTGCAAGTTATGGGTTTGAAGTTAAGAGTGGTTAACAAACATATGACTGAGGTCAATGGGGGAGAGTTTTTGATAGCCTGGATTTGGAGAGATTTAATATGTGGAAAGTTTTGAACTATTTGAGTAAAAGAGGTGTTAGTTTAGACCCTGTTAATCACCTCATCCCACCATTCCTCAGCGAGTCTAACCATCATTTCTTGTGCTTTTAAAGGCCCAGTGTGTAAGATTTAGGTGAAAGGGAACTATTTAATGTAGAATAATCCTCATGATGTTTTCACTAGTTAGTTTCATCTAAATTATATGAATTGTAGTTTTCTTTACCCCAGAAAAGGCCCTTTATATTTAAATACTTTATATTTACATGGAGGGGACCCTCTCTACGGAGGCCGCCATGTTATTTACATTAGTTCAGACTGGACAAACTAAACACCTTTTGAGTTTTTATGACAACTGAAGCTACCACAGGTTATTTTTCATGTTTGGAAATGGAGGGTGAGGTGAGGGGTAATTACCTGTAACATGCAATTTCAACACTAGATATCACTAAATTCTACACAGTGTACCTTTAAGTAGTCTTTATCCTGTTATACTGTGAAACTAGTGACAAAATCAACAAACAGTTGTTGTAAATGACCACACTCTGGAACTGGGACTGGGAAATTAAAAGGCTAAGAAGGGAAACTAGCCAAAGTGTCACTTACAAATAGGTCTTGGAATGTTTTGATAGATTTTCTTTTAAAGAGAGAGAATATGTTTTATATTAGCGATGGGGGGAAGACAGATCATTTTGATCAACAGGGCCCTGAAGGAAAGATGCTGAGAAGAATCTTAAGTGCCTGCAAAATTTGTTCCATTCAAATCTTTCTGTATGGACACAACTATGGGATTACTGGTAAAGCAGGGCTTATTTGGAGAGAGAGAGTGACATAGAGTAAGATATTGGCACTTAAATCCTTTGCTTGATTTGCATCTCTGAAGAAGAGATCTGCTCGCCCTGTGTTCCTGTCCTCACCACATGAAATCAGGGATAGCTTGCTTAATTGATGTCAAATGGATTTGGTGAGAAACAAAAGGATCGGCCTTAGTTAGATCTAAAAACCACAGGACTGATTTTAAAATCACTATCATTTAAAGGTACAATGTGTAGAATTTAGTAACATCTAGAGATGAAGTTGGATTTTGCAGCTGAATACCCCTCATCTCACCCTCCCCTTCCAAACATGAAAGAGAACCTGTGGTAAAGTTTTAGTTTGTCCAGTTTGGACGACAGAATAAAACATGGTGGCCTCCACAGAGAGGACCCCGCTCCATGTAAATATAAGGTTTTTAGATATAAAGGTTCATTCTATGGTAAAGAAAACAATTCATACAATTAAGATGAAACACATCAGTGAAAACATCACTAGGATAATTTCATATTCAATTTCTGCTAAAGATCTCTTTCACCTAAATCTTACACACTGAACCGTTAAACGTCTGCAATTTTTCTCAGTTCTTGGTCACAGCTGCATCTGATTCTAACTTGATGTTATGTTTACTCAGTCACATCCACTTGTTGGTTTTAATCTAGTCCCTCTAGCTTCTAATAAGCAGGCGTGTGGCCTATTGGCTTTACAGATGGTACTTTAGGAGCTAGTCGGATAGCAGCTTACACATGGATCCAAAAGTGAGGTATTTATCCACTCAACTACCTACGAACAACATGTTGCTCCTCTGTAGCTGACATCATGCTCAGCCTTTACTAGAGGGCAGCAAATGAGAATGAAAATTTCTCCGCAAGCATCAGTGAAGGAACACACAAGCCCAAGATTTAAAAAAACAAAAAAAAACACATCAAAGCAGACAGATTAGAAGAATGTGACTCACAGGGGTGTGTGATGTTTGCATTCTCGAGGAGAGCTACGTAGCCTGTGACATTGCTGGGGATTCGGATATCTCTGATTTCCTGCAGGGAACGCCGGTTTTTCCCCACAGCAACTGAGACCAGCTGAGGCATGTAGCTGTGGTCATTGGAAGCTACAGCAATAGCCAGACGTCTCAATACCACATCTGGTTTCATTTTCAATCTGGAAAACAGAAAAAGAGATGGGTTTCAACCTTCAATTTAATGATCCACATGTAGGTCAGAACCTCCATGAATCAAGGGTCAACCACATGTGACAGTCAGCGGCAAAATATTGAGTCAAACATTACCGAATCCAGTGTGAGCGTGCACTGCCGTCTGATTGCCAGAAAGATGCAGTCTCTCCATTTGTCATCTTGTAGATGTCAGCAACATTAGATGAAGCTTCTATTGTGCTGTAGCACTGTGTGACCACCTTGACTTTGTCAACCTCTGGATCACGGTCGAGCTCTGCTCTGTATTGAATATCTAAATCTGAAAGAAACAAATACAGATTTGGATAACTGTCTCAAAGCTGTGCAGCAAAGGGAATCGGCTGCACTGCTCGACATGAATGTCCTGTTTCAACATGCTTAAAGTACACAAGAGAACATTCAGAAATTCTATTCAGAACAAGCAGGTCCTTTTTCATGCCCATCTGTGGTGTTCACCTTTCTCCTTTTGCAAGAGGAATTCCAAGAAGTCCTGGACCACACTGGACCTCATGGTGCAGATACTATTGTAGCCCTCTAATAAAGGGAAAGGAATGGCACTGCTGGGAATACGATTCCTGTGTAGAAACTTAAGGATCTTAGAAGCATGTGCCCCTAACCGGTCTTTGGTTTTGGAGAATATGTCAACAAAACCTGTGGAAACAATACAAGAAAAGAGGAGATGTTCGTTTCTGTGGTTAGCTCATCTGCATTGTGTCTATCCAAATGAGGTTGGCCTTGATCTCCCTGTAAAGAAATCATATCTCATACCTGGGGTTAGAGAGCATGCCTGTAGCTGTCTTATCACATGACTCAGCTCTCCCTGTAGATTAGCTCCATTGGAGTTCTTCAGAGCAATCAGCATGCTCTCGACGTCCACCACCCCATCTCCCTCTGCATCGAACTGTCCAAAAGCCTGATACGGGGGACAAACATCACAAACAATCTGTAAGGATATGTCTCTTACACAAAAAGGGCCAACGATCTGTGTCTTTAATTCATGAGGCACACAATATGCCCTAACTCTATTACCATTATTAGGTTAAATTGTATGTGTGTTGGACATTTTGATTGATACAGTGTAGTGTGCGGTAATTTATAGCACAGCATTCCATGTGTGCCCACACAATGCCAGACAGACTAAAGCTCACATTCATTAGTTAACCCATTCATCTACAACCTTTAGTCAAACAGCACATGTCAGACAACAGACCACAAAGCAGCGTGTTGTGCCCAAAGAGGCCAAAGCTGAAGTGACAATAAACGTGTCCAGCAGAGGAGACACGATGACAGCTCAGTTCTCTCCTTTCGTTAAGATTACACATCAGTCTGTGTTATGGATCATGTCTGGCCCTCTCGTGACCTCACCACACAATCTTGTTTACTTCTCGCTCTTCGTACATGGGCATTAAAGCAGCCATCAGTGGGACACAGAATCATTTCGCAGCACGTATGAGAGCCATGTCTCGATTGTACCTCTTCACATTCATCTCTGGGGGCGTCCCTGGTCTCCAACACCTCACAGAACTGCTCCACGTTGACGGACTCCTCTCCTCGGTTGAGCCGGTCCTCCAGCCACCGCACCAGGACACCCTCGTTCCCGGCTAGCACCGACTCGTGAATGGCGACCCCGGAGTCGCTGATACGGGCCGCCGCTTCTCTCAGCTTCACTTGTTCCAGGAGGACCCCGGGGTTGGGTGGTCCGCCGGTCGGCACGGGCAGGCTGTTCGGTCCCCTTCCGCTCCTTCCAGACGCGGAGCCTCCGCCGCCTCCGACACCGCCGCCAGTGGCCGCAGAGGCCGGACTGTCTTCCGCGAAGCCGGGGCTCTCCGTCTCCACGTCCTCCTCGTCGCCGCTGCCTCCGCCGCAGCCGCTCTCCGCGTTCCCCATGGCTCTTTCACCGACCTAGGGCGGCCCCGAGAATCCCTGCGGGCCGTTGGGTGTCAGTTTCAGGACGCTAGCGCCGGGCAGACCTCTCCAACACTCACCTACAGCGAAAACTCCACCGTCCACTACTACCGCATTGACGCACCGTACGTCATCCTGCCGGAAAACGTCCTCTGCGTGCTTCATCTGCGCACGCGCAGCGGCTTCCGGTTCGCGGAAGCGCTCGTCTGTGTCTGCTGCTCAGCGGAAGGACGAGATGTGATGTCAGTGGATGGAAGCGGACTCGCTCGATCAGCATGCTCGCTTGTGTTGTTGTTGTGGTTGTGTCTGTGTTGGTGGCTGTGTTGTTGGTTCCCCGCGATGGGTCCGTTAAACCCGGATCACCGCAGACGATTACTGTGCGGCTCCTCAGCAGACATGAACTGTCGCTGTACGACGGAGAGCAAGGCAGCAAGGGCCTGTACCTGGCCATCATGGGGCAGGTGTTTGATGTCAGCAAGGGACACAAGCACTATGGACCCGGTGGTGCCTATCACTTTATGGCAGGTGACTCCTCACTTCTTCTCCTACAGTGTCCACAACGTGTTAGATCTCAGTATTAAACCACAAATCTCAATATTAAACCTCAGACCTCAATATTAAACCTCAGACTTCAATATTAAACCTCAGATCACAATATAAAACCTTAGATCTCAATATTAAACCTCAGATCACAATATAAAACCTTAGATCTAAATATTAAACCTCAGACCTCAGTATTTAAACACAGATCTCAGTATTAAAGCTCAGCTCTCAGTTGATGTTTGTGAGTTGTATACATTATTATTGCTGTTTGGGAAGTCACATGACCTGTAAGGTGACCCAGATGTATGGTGTCTCTAGTTGAAGGGTCTGTGCCTGAATCATTGCCATCTGGGAGAAATGGCAAATAAGTTTATGGGTGTACGTATAAACAAATAAGTGTATACGTACACCATTATTCTGGTGTGCAGACATTCTCGGACATTCTCAGCAGCTATCATTGAACAGATTTGTGTGTGAGTGCTTTTGTATCCTTTCAGTATTTAACTACAATATATATTTCAACTTTTGGATAAACATTGCCAGATGTCTGTTTCCAAAGTCCATAACCTAAATCAGGAATATAAATTCTGCTCTAATAAGAGCAGCTATTGTGCATTAGTATCCTCCATACTGCACTGTACTCTGTGTTTGTCTGTGTTTCAGGCAGAGACGCCTCTCTGGCCTTCATCACTGGAGACTTCACAGAAAGCGGCCTGACAGATGATGTGTCTAGTCTCTCCCCCCTGCAAGTGGTGGCCCTGTATGACTGGCTGGCCTTCTATCAGAGGGACTACCAGACTGTGGGTATGCAATGCTCCACCTGCTATTATAATTCTTCGTTAGGACACACACACATTTTTACAAAAACAAAGTCATTCACAGTTTACCTGTAAAGCAGCTTTAAAGATCTGGTTCAGTTCTGCATAAATACAGAATTTTCCCTTGGTCAGCACATTGTATAAAGTTTAACACTATTACGACTTGCAATAAAAACACAATCTGTGTCCTTTAAGGATTACTCAACAGTACTACATCAGGCGATTGGTGTTCTGCTCATGGTCCTGGAGACCCCATCTCTCTGATACAGCTTCAAACCATTCTTCATGCTGCTTTTTCCCCTTCGCACATAATGACTTTTACTAAATTTACTAGGATTGTTTTTAAGAAATACTCATGCTTTGTATACCCAAGCATGAGCATACAAAGAATGTGCTACATCTTTGTTTGGTGTTGACAGTAGATTGATCACATCACTACTCCTGCCTATTCCATCACAGGTCGCCACAGATAACATATTTTATTTCAACATATGTTAAAGAAAAGCAAAATATTGGCAATAGCATTAGTTTGTATCAAAATATAATATACAAAAAAAAACACAAATACATAATATTTGAATTTGTTTCATGTTGGACAGTTTGGGCAGGGAGATGTGTCATTTAGAACTACTTTCTGAGTTTTTTCAAAACTTGGTTAATTTGTCTTGCTCTGCTCTTCACCATAGGTCTCAGTATTAAACCTCAGATCTCTAACCTTGAGCTTAACTTTGTGAAAATACAGCAAGACTGCAGTCTTGCATCTTCCAATCGTGGATGTGTTAAATTGACCCTCTCCCAATTTGAATTTCAGGGGTGGTAATCGGCCGGTTCTACAGAGAGACTGGAGAGCCAACACAGGCCTTGTTGCAGGTAGAAGCATCACTAGCGGAAGGCCAGCGAATGAAGGCCCAGTCTGATGCTGAGATGCTACATTTCCCAGCATGCAATTCAGAGTGGAGCCCTGCCAGGGGAGGAAGAGTCTGGTGCTCCACTAAGAGGTATAAGATAGTTCTGGCTTAATCAAATATTAACACCCACAGGCACAACTGTAATTTTGTGATGTCTTACAGTAGCTACATTATGGGTTTCCATTAGGCCTGATTCGTTTTTTCTCTTCAGTGGTGGAGTGGTAAGAGACTGGACGGGTGTCCCACGGAAGCTCTTCTCTGCAGGATCCACTGGTGTTCGCTGCGTCTGTGTGGAGGACCACTCTGCAGCAGAGGAAGACCCCAACCTGCAGAAATATGAAGGCTGCCCTCCAGATGCTGAATCATGTGCTGTCGGAGAATTTTAACCTCTTAGCCAACCTAGAAAATGGACCTAGTCAAAGCCTGTTATTTAGTTGCACAAAACTCAGGAAAACATGGGGACCTATAATTGTAACGCACATAACTAAGAGTTGGAATGAAGAATTCTCAATGCATTTGTTTTTGATGACCTTTATGTAAAGTTGTCCTCCCTTTTTCTAAAAGGATACACCAGGAAGAGACAGACTAGATATCTGAGCATACAGATACAATACAATGTGCATAAAAGATTAAACAATGTGCATAAAAGATTAACAGAGGCAAGATTTAGGTTTGTCACAATGACAAGCACAAACTGCATTTAAGTACAAAACAGTTGTAGTGGTCAAAAATATCACACATTTATCTGTACAATTTAACAATACTTAAAGAGGCCCCACTACCCGGCTGCCCCGCTTGGCCACATTCTCCCCAATGATCAGAAATGTCATGTGATGTTGATAAAGTGCACCCGTTAGGCTTAGAAATTAAGACGCGTTCAATGTAATGGGTCAAGACAACTTGACTTGAGGCAACATCGTGGGGACTATGATCGCAACTTCCTACGACGATCTCCTGGCAGGTCAAAAATGGAATGTAGTTTTTGGTGACTGATTCTCAGATATCATTTTAGATGATGACTATGACACAGAAAAAACTACAACTTAACTGACAGTCACAGGCATATTAGGCATTTTTCTAAGTAATGAGGAGGGTTGTCAAGATAATTTTGTTTTTTTCCCAAAGTGCCTTGTCAAGAATTAAGCATTTCTACTTAATTTTAATTTATCACACAAGACAGTATGAACCAATCATGGAAAAAACTATCATCATTTCGTTAACAATTTCCTCTGTTGCCCATTTATGCCATCTATCAACTCTAGTGGTAAAATAAGACAATGTCAACGTTATAATTCTGAAAATGACTAAATAGATTAGATCTCATTTGGACATGATGCTCATTTAAAAAATGAAATGAGGCGCTAGTCTTTTAAATCCTCCTTGCCTGTCCCACTTCATTCAGTAAAAACAGAATTGGGCTGACAGAAGAGTGAATGACAGTTTGCAGAGTACATGCTGTTGGTTCAGTCACTTGGTGGACAGCAGCCTCAGCTCTTAAATGAAGGTTAATATTCATTTGGTAGCAGTGATTTTTTTTGGTCACACATCATGAAGGAGGCTATACCAAGAGAGAAGAGGACAACCACTCCTCTGAATTGATTTGATCATTCATGATTGAATTGTACAGCAGTTACCTGCTTGTAATAATGAGAGGTCATCGGTACAAACACATTATTTAGCTTGGGAAAATGATTAACAAATTCTGTCCAGCTGTCACTGAGCTGGAGGAGCTGCTTATATCATCTTTAAGATACTTTGATCAAAACAGAAACAAAAAGACAATGTTTCACTTTCAAATTGAACGTCCCTCTAGAACATTAATAGTTTTTCATAGACTGGAAGAGTATAAAGGCTATGGTCCATGTCCAGGAATCTCTTGTTAGTTTGTCCTGCTACTGATGTCCCTTGTCCTGGTGTGCCTGAAAAACTGTGCCGAGTTGGGCCTGGCATGGCCAGTGTCAGAGGATGGAGGATATCCAGGCCAATACATTACGATACCCCACCCAGAGTTAGGACATCAAAGCAGATGTCACACACCCTCACTGGCTTGTTCAGGTCGAACTTGATGATGGGTATCTCCTTTATAGAGCACTTGTGACACAACAGGCGCCCACAGTGGCGGCTGGAATTAACAGTCAAAGACAAGTGGACAAGTGTCAAGAGACGCAGGATTAATCATATAGTTTGACACTAAATGCAAATGAGTAAAATGATTGAAACATTTATAGAAAAAAAACATTACTAACCAGTGATGTTTCCGTGTTGTTACACCAAACTTGGCAACACATTCATAACAGTTTGACCCATCACACCATGGGGGCTCTTTGGACAGCATATCTAAAAGATAAAAAATAAAAAGTCTAGTTATAATAACTGGTATCAGAGCATATCTTCATGTGCGGAGAATCTCTGAAATATGATGAAGTGTAAAAACTAACCTAGAAGGCGAAAGAGCAACTGTTTGGTTGCAACTTGGTAGTTGAAAATGTTGATGCCCTGATTATTGTTGATGCCCAGTCGAGCCCCAGCCCTCACAATGGCACGGCACAGATTTGCATTTCCTTTCATGTAGGCCAGGAGCAGAACTGCAATAACACATAGACCATTCTCATTTTGTGACAGGCGTAGTACTGGTTTTATTGTGAAACATATATAAAGTTAACAAAAGAGATAATTAAATCTACAGTACCTGTGTTCCCTTCATTATCTGGTTTGTCCAGAGGGTATTCAGGCATACACTCCAGGAACAACTCGAAAATGGCGGCAGCATTTTCTTTCCCATAATGGCCTAATACGTGCATCGGTGACTGACCCCTAAGTAGGCATAAGATAAAAAGGAGACATACGTTGACACTATAGACCACAGAAGGTTATTTGTTATGCTCTTAGTTTTTATTGCATGTTAAGCATCCACTCTTTGCACTGTGCATTGTCTCTATCAGTCGCAATGCCAACTGAAGCCAAACTGAACGCTCCACTCCATCTCCTCCGGCTCTCCATACATTGTCTAAGTTTCCAAATGCTGTTGTTTTTACCCAGTCTGAGATTACATGTGTCCAATGACACAGTTTGTGTGTGTGACTGCATAGGTCGTGAGTTTGTGAGCACGAGAGACGAGCTAAATTGAATGCGCACAGCTATGAAGAAAGATTTAAGTGATCAGTGTTGATATTGTGGCAGTCATTTCAAACAAATCAATGTTTAAACTGTAGCGGGTCAGAAATGTCAGCTGTGTGTGTGTCTGCCAGTCAGCGGTCGAGAGAGAGAGAGCAATTTGCTATCGCCCTTATCTTTAAAAACCGCAATCTATTTTTTTGCGGTGTTACCACTTAAATTAGCTTATTTCCCAAATGATTAAATAACACTCCAGTAATTTAATCAGGAAAGTGTACCTGAGATTAAAGGCCTCAGCATCAACGTTGGACTCTGTGAGTAGGGTTCTCACATTATTAAGGCGGCCTTGCATCACAGCCAGATGCAGAGCTGGAAAGAGCAGGAAAAACAGAGAAATAAATAAAATGTTCTTTACAAGGATGAAGGTGGATGGGAAATAATATAATGTACTACTCTAACTGAAACAATGACTACTCAGGTGAAAACAATATACTGATTCTCCTCAACAATAGAGGTGAAAGAGAGACTGAGCTTATTATTTATATCGGAAATGTGTCAATTTAAATGGTATTTGTTTAATAAACGTATCCCAGATCAAGTTATAATAAAAATAAAATGATATAAGGTACCATTATTTCCATTTTCATCCTCAGCAGCAAAGTCTACTCCATTCTCGATCAACACAGAACAAATAGTGGCCAGGTCCTGTTGGGCGGCCAGGTGTAATGCTGTCTGCCTGTGTTTTGTCAACTCATTTACTTTTGCTCCAGCAAGCAACTAGAAAAAGAGAAAAATAAAAACAGCATCACATACACTACTCTTTCTTTAACACTTAAACTGGCATGAATGGGAGATGCAGAGGAGCAACAAGTCTACCAGGTTGCGGACAATGATCTCAGATCCAGCCTGGACAGCGAGGTGGAGAGGGGTGAGTTTGGCTGCATCCTGAACCCTGGAGTTGACATTGGCTTGGACGCTGATGAGGAACAAGACACTTTCGATATCTGAATTTTGCACAGCCACGTGTAGAAAATTACGGCCTTTGTTATCCACCTGTATGGAAACAGAGGTTTGAGAGATCAGTACTGTAACTGTACAGAATTTTCATTGGTGCAACAGTAATACTGAAGATGAAGACAAACTGGTGCATTTATGTCTGTGCTACCTGTTCAGCAGCACCTGGCTCCCTCTTGAGGATAGCCTCTGCTGCCTTATTGTTCTTGTGCGTCATGGCGCAGGCGAAGGGGGTCATTCCTTGACGGTCGCGAATGTTAAGACGAATGTCTGGATGGGAGATGAGGAGCTGGATGATGACGTTGTGCTGGCTGCTAATGGCAGCATGGACAGGAGCTCTACCCTCTGCATCCTGATAAAGTGACAGTGAGAAAAAGAGCATGATTATAGCTCACTTCGTAATCTATCATTTCCTTGACTGGTGCAATGGCCGTTGTAAATTGGTTGTTTGCTTAGCCTGTGGTAATGCTGGTTGTAGCTTTCTTTCTGAAACTGTGAAAGTGACCTGCTGGACTCAGTCTATAAAACTGGAGAGTTTTCAATGCTGTCTGATGAGATTAATGGTTCTAGAGATATGCATTCCACATACAGGCAGATTAAGACTTCTGGAATTAGTAGATAATTTTTGTAGCAGGAAAAGTATAAGCACTATCTAGGGATGGGCGATTGTGAAACCATGAGCCAATATTGATGATTTTTGTACCAGTGAGTATTTGTAACAAAAATACTGATTGTGAAGAACAAAATTCCTCAGCCCTCCATTAAACAATCTTTGAATGAATACCATTTCAATGTTTAATTATCATCATCATTCCAGTGATAAAATAATATAATATAATCTTTTTGTGAATAATAGAAAAACGTTTTCATAAGTAAGCATTGGGTGTTTAAAAATAATAAACTCAGAAAAGGATTAGAAATGTATGTTATTAAGTCATGGAAAAATCTAATATGCCACTGTAATGCTCACATAGGACGAGTAACATCAAAATATTGAGTCAAGTTAATAGAGATCCCTCATATTCTCATCAGAGAGTAATGGACCCTCTGATGTGATGGGACTGACCTGGGTGTTAACATTAGCTCCAAACTCTAGAAGGCACTGCACCACCTCCTCCAATCCCCAAGTGCTCGCTAGATGGAGGGGCGTTTGCCCATCTCTGGCTTCTTCGTCTCCTTCCCCATTTGGCCCTGGCTTCCTGGGGCTGTTCACGTCACACCCGCTGTAGACATATCACATAGAGAATAAGTAAAGACACTTAGATACAAATATGTCATTACATCAAGCTTACAAAGACACCATATTTTATTTGGTAATATTTAAAAAAAAATCTTAAAATAATATAATTGGTCCATATTGAAAAGATTCATAGACTCTGCAGATATGTGCATCCACGGTATCTAGTAGTATAACACGAAGTAGAGTTTGCAGACCTGCGAATGAGGAAGCAAGCAGACACCTCATTGTTCTCATCAACAGCTCTGTGCAGGAGAGTCTGCTGGCAGCCAGAGGGCCCTGTGCTCCAACTAGTTGCATCGCAGCCATGGCGGACCTAAGTGGGACATACAGGAAACAAAACAGTCAAAATGTGAAAGAATGACTGTTTCTCAAATATTATTACACCTACAAAACATGTCTTTTTATACATCTAATACTCTTGCATCACTCAATGCAATGGTAATTATATATTTGTTTCCCCTTTTTGGATAAATTATTCCTAAATCAAACTTATATTCTTTATAGCTATTCCAGAGGTTATCTCACTAAAAACTGAGAGCACATCAAGAATGAATGAAAAGTGTAGTATTATTTCTCAATTGGTTGTGTATGAATTTGTCTCACCAGTGTGGATGCAATATCTTCCAGGCCGTTCTCAAGAGCCAGCCACAGTGGAGGGTCCCCTTTGTCATCCACCACTGACATATCAGCTCCTCTTGTGCAAATGGCATCTACCACCAGTGGCAGCTGGTTACTAATGGCCAACTGTAGTGCTGTTTGTCCCTCTTGAGTTCTAGTCATAGAGAAGAGACAAAATAAAAGATACAGAAAAATATATGACAATTGAAAAACACTCATTTCAAAGTTAACTGGCAGATGATAAACATACAATAAAGAAGTCTTTTGAAATAAACACATTTCTATGAAACTACTGTATTTTGGGTCCAATCTTGTTTTGTTACTACTGAACACTATTGCTGAAGTCTTACTGAATCCAGTTCAAATAACAAAATAAAAGCAAAAACCAAGGGCAGGGGGACCCTGAGTGGGGGTGCATGCATAGACCATCAATAGCAAATGAGAGCAGTTTGCGTCTGGCAGGGTACGTCATTCCGGATCATGCTCCCTTTCCTTTCCTCTGCTGTCACCAGACTAATGAAGGTTTATAATGCTCATAACAGTCATAACACATCATTGTACAGATTCCTAACTGCAGCATCACCAAGGTATTACCTCACATTGATGTCAGCCTGATGTTCAAGAAGGAAGAGTGCACTCTTGCTGTCCTGTCTTTGAATGGCCATATGAAGCAGGGTTTGTCCATTGGACATAGTGTCGTTGATAGAAGCCCCTGAGCCCAGCAGCTGAGCTGCTATAGTGTGCATACCTGACAGAGCCAAATTATACATGTTACACATCACAAACAGATCACCAAGCACACTTACTCATGACAGACTTGATAATTCACAATCAACTGTTTTGTTTGGTGCAGAGCTGTGTACCTGTCCAGAGGGCCAAGCCCAGCACAGTCTGGTCCATTGAATCTTTGAGACTGAAGTCTGGAATGATCTGGAAGTTGTTGGTGGCATGAAGTGCATTGGCTGTAGTAGATGCAGTAAATATAGGGAGAATTAAAAGAAACATTTTGGTAAGTTTGAGTACCTTGGTGATAATGCAAAAATAGCTTATTGCACCCATTACTTTTACATCTTAGTTACGGCTGTTAAGATTTATGTAACATGTACTGACCTTTTTGCTCAAGGATGACAGAGACCACATCTGGGTGGTTGTGAGCAATGGCCATGTGGAGAGGGGTCTGTGTCGCTACGCCATGGGTGTCGTCAGGCAGAGCCTTTTGTGTCTGTAGGTTGGGGTTGGCTCCCTGCTGGAGCAGCTCTGCTGTCAGGCTTGCCAGGCCACAGCGACATGCTGTATGAAGCGGGCTCTCACCCTGTAAAAAGAGATATTAATAAGACTTTTTATTAGTATTACAAAATAATTTCCCTTTCATTTTATGATTTAGGATTAAGGCCTGCAGGCATAAAAAGTCAGATTTGAATTTTCAGATTCAGTCATTTCAGATTTTTGACAGGAATCCACTGCATGATACTGATTTAATGTTCCACTAAAAGCTTTCACCTTCTGTAATTTTCTCCTGCCATCTGTAAAATATATCTAAGGTGACATCTTTGTTTAACACTTTCGTCTGACCTTTTAAACATTGGCCAGTGGACACAGTAATGAAAGGTCAGAATTTCACTCTGTTAAAAAGGACATACTACCAGCACACTACACTGCCTGTTTATATATCAAACATATAATTAGCCAGTAATCTGGAGTAACAAAAAATATATTTTTTGGGTCAAATATACATATGAGCCTTATTACAGATTTATAGTAAACGTTTTGTGTGTGATTAATTGATTTGAGATGTCTTTAAAATTGTGTGTGTCTTCTTTTTCTTTTTATCTCTGAAAGAAATGGGCCAAATATTTTGGCATGACGCAGAAATGAAAAATATGTATGTATGTCAATGCTGCTTAATTCATACGTACCCATTTGTTGACATGGTTGACCTTCGCTCCATGAGTAGCTAGGAAAAGAGTAGCTGCCTCGTTGCCTGCCCGAGCTGCTCTCTGCATGAGGCAGTTTTCTACAGAGACGAGATGAAGATGAAAATGTTTTGAAAGTCAAAATGCACCATTAGATTCAGACAAATATTGCTGCGGTAAAATTATTAAAAAGCACCTGTGGTAGTGTCAGGTGCATCAGGGTTGCTCCCTCTCTGGATGAGCTGTGCTGCAAAGCTATTCTCGTCAAATGAGGTGCCATTTACTACTGGTGCATCGTCCTCAAATGGATTTACTGATGGGTCTGAAGACACGGTGATATACTGCAAGGCCAGCCACAGAGCTGTGCTGCCTTCATGGTCCTTGAGTTCGAGGTCAAGCCTAACAAGATGGATAGATAACATCAGGTAACACACAGGATAATCTTTGGAGGTAAATAAACACCAGGGTGACATGATATGACATTGCCTGTATGAGTAGGTTACATTTGTTGTCTACTCTTATTTGACATGGCAAAGAGTAGAAGAAAAAGATTAAGTTTATCTTGTAATTAAGGTCAAATTAAGAAATTGCACATAACGTAACTCACTGTTTGCAATCTAGTAACTGGCTGAACACTGGCTCATTCCCTGATGCAACAGCTTCATGTAACGGAGTCCTGAAAACAACAAAAGGAAAAAGGTTGAAGCATCATGATACTGCGAGGCAGTTGGCCTCCTCCGCGATCCATTGAAGCTCATAAGCCAAGAGCCCAATGACACACCTGCCCTTGCTGTTCTGCATGTTGGGGTTGGCTCCGGTCTTGAGCAGAGCCTCTGCGATTCGTGCCATGCCACTCATTACTTCCACAGAATGTTTCTTGGGGCTAAAAGAACAGACCAGATGAAGTGGGGTTTCCACGGCCCCCACTGTGGCTGCATTCACCTGAGCTGAGTGGCGAATCAGGAAGATTGCTGCAAATTCATCACCTGGAAAATGAAAGAAAATGGTTATAAAAAATGAAACTCTGCTTACATGTATTATCTCTGGAGTTACTTTCTATACAGAAACAGTACTGAAAAGAGTGGAGTGGTTCTTCACAGAAACAGTTTATTTAAGCATTTGATGAAGAGGGTATCTTCCAAGGTTTATTTTGCACATTATTTTTTTTACAAGAAACACACATGGATGAGTGAAATAGTGACCCCGCACCTCTTTGGATGGCCTTATGCAAGAGGCTCCAGCCACTCTGGTCCACCATATCCACATCGGCTTTGTTGTTAACCAGAGTGGTGGCAATACTTTCCAATTTACGAGAGAGTGCCAGGTCTAATGCCAGATCACCATTGTTGTCTAATTCATTTAGCTTGCCAGGGAGCTGAAAACAAGAGGAAACATAAAAAACTAAATATTAAACCTGCTTATAGAATAGTGACAAAGATTGAATCTTCCTCACTGCTTACATTGTAACATACAAAAGAACATTAAAGAGATCGTGGTGAACTGACCTGCGGGTCCATCTCAATAAGATAGAGAAAGACCACATCTTCCCGCTCAACTTTGATGGCTTTGTGGAGAGGATACTCTGTTTTAGATTTGATCATCTTATATAGAAGTTGGGCACTCATGGTGCTGAAATCTTCTTTTCTTAGATCATCCTGATAAATAAAAATGGAAACGTTCAATGGAACACAATAAAGAATCAGCTTTGAATTAGCCTGTGGTGGAAAACATCAGCAAGTGTTACCTAAGGAAACGTTATAAAACGGAGAGAAAAAATTAGACTGGAGGTGTCAAAGATTGATGTCAGCTAACACCCATTTTCTTCACCAAAGTCATAAAAATAAACGTTGTAAGTTGTCAAGGTCTGGCTTTATTGTATCATAAATGGTGATGTAACAAAAACTGGTGAGGCAAAATGCAAGTATCTCTGATGAATCTTAAAGAAGTAAACAATGGTTCAAGGTGGCATATTTGTCTTCATGCCTCAGGACTCTTGAAAACCATAATACAGGTAAATGATTATATAATTAAGACGACTTTCAATCTAATATGGTTTGGTAATACATCACTGAAAAACAATACAGACTGTTCATCTATTCCACAAGCACATGAAAACACCAAAGTCCAGTCAGCTGTGAACAAACACTTAAGGTACTCACCCAGTGACTGGCTATGATCTCCCCACAGTAGTTCATCAGCGTGGTGGCGTTTAGTTCCTCAGCTGTCTGGTAGAAGCGAATGCAGTTCCTGACATTCACAGAGGACATCACGCCTTTTTCACACCTGTCCCAATGGAAAAACAAATGTTTTTCAGGCCATTAAGCCACATGTGGTACTCTTCAAAACGTTCTGCTGCGTCGCTGCTGCCACTAACAGCAAGGAAAAAAGGCAGTGTACTTGCTGACCTCTCTCGAAGCAGCTGTAGCTGGAAGCGGTTAGCCAGCTTCATCAGGTCAATAAGAAAGGCATCATCCTCACTGAGTTCCAACTCATCAGTGTAAGCCCAGCGCAACATTGCCATGGCAACCTCAGGCTTACAGTCTGGGAAATATTTATATCATAAAATTAGAGGTTTACATAGAGTGATCGGTTACAAACATGCTATGAATACTGGCTGATAACACATTTCTAACACTGGACTTAGCAGCACAATCATTTTGACACACTGCAAAATGACCATCCATTTATTACTTTATCCAAAATGGATGGATTTTCATTCTAAATTAAGCTACTCTTTTAACACAGTGGTGTCACAGGGGTTTCCTCACCTGATAGGTCCAGTTCAGAGGTGGAGGTGAGATTAGCCAGACTCCAGACATCACTGCGAGCAGCCAAAACAAACTTATGGGCACTAAGCGTTTCCCCTGCAACTTTCACTTTCAGATCACTGCAAAACAAATGAGGAACCAAGATATATCAATAATCCTGAGGTTAAAAAATAAAGAAACTAAGATCGATGAATATATCAAGAATCAAAATGTTGCCTTGATTAGAACACTCAACAGCAAAACCATCAAGAATAGAATGGAATAGAAAAGTATAGACAACAAATTTCATTGTAAAAGAGAAAGCAGTGCAATTACATTTATTTTAAAAAAAGAATACAATCTGAAAAAAGACACTAACCTTTGTCAAATTTGAATTAAATACATTTTAAATACAAAAAAAATACAATAAATGCAAAACTAAAAACATAAAACTACAATAATGAAGCAGGATAGTTGGTTGTTAATCACACAACACACCAGATGCAAAACTATTTACCTTTTGCATATAGCTAGATTTTGTAAATGTGTAACTATCCATTCCATGCATGAACCTCACCTGTAATGTTCCTGCTGATAGAGGTCGGCCACGATGTCCAGCAGACGACTAATGAAGGTGTCTGCTGCTGCTGCAGGGCTGGGGGAGCCCTGACCAGAACCCTGAGCAGCAAGCACAGCACAGCGCCTCTCTGTGTCAGCCAGCTTCTGTTGCATCTTCACATACTCCTGCCTGAGCAGGGCCAGGTGCTTCTGCAGCTTGGCCACCTCCTCTGCCCCACATCAAGGTGAAGGAAACAGACAGGAGAAAACGTGACGCAGAGATCGAAGAAAAAATAAAGTTTAAAAAGACCTATTTCTGAACACAGGTTAGAACTGAACTCTTTGAAGCACTTTTCGCCTAAAATTTAAGGGGATGGTTCAAAGTACATTCACTGGATAGTGTTTAGTATTGATTTTACACTGTTTGCTTTCAAAGATGGCTGTGGTGCAGTTAGCCCCACGCCGGTCCATATGGGGTCTTTCTGTGTGGAGTTTGCATGTTCTACCCGTGTCCTTGTGTGTTTTCTGCGGGTACTCAGGCTTCCTCCCACAGTCCAAACACATGCAGATTGGAGTTCAGTTGATCAGACACTCTAAATTGACTGTAGATGTGAATGCCAGTGTGAAGGGTTGTTTGTCTTTGTATGTCGTCCCTTATGATAAGCTGCCGACCTGTCAGAGGTCATATTGTGTATATTGGCTCCAGTCTACACAAAAAACAGCCTGCTGATTAAAGAAGACTTTTGTTTGTTATACTACAGGATGAAGCTGGTGAGTTAGAGTCGCACCTACTGGTGGTTTGAGAAATTTGGCTTGAGACATTATTTCTTTTTAAAGTCACTTTCCCATGTGACCAAGGTTGAGCAGAAGCAGTAGAATTTCAGCAGTCTCTGAATCTTAAAACCTGTCTACAAAAGTAGTCCAAGTAGTTTTGTTTGGACAAACCTTTCCCAGTTCCTCAAACTGAAAAAAAAACCTTCTATGGATGTTTGAGTCATGTCTCAGTCGAGAGTACTCAGATTTGAACTGAGGCCCATTTCCTTCCTTTAAACCAGTAAAGTTAAAGTGAAGAAAGAACGCTGAGGCGGCACGTTACTGTGTCCTCCCTTGTAAACCGTTACTGGCACTGCTACTGGTCATGAGGTCCAGAGAAGAAAAAAACCTCCTGATCAGCTCAACACAGGAAGGGTGGTATGCTTGAGCAGCCGCTTAGGGACTAACGGACCAGCCACTGGACAGTGTATTTAATGTTCTTATCCACATTTATTTTGCAGGATTATCAGGCTGCAAAACAAATGTTCTGCAAAAATAATATCTTCTTAAAATTTCATTTAAGATTTCCCACAGATCAAAACAAAACTTCAGGACTTGTGAACATGATCTAGTCTCTTTCAGCCTTAACCAATGTAGTAAGTCCTTATCAAACACAGAACACACAAGAAAACACCGTGGAAGTTTACTACAAGTCATAGAATCCAGACATTGCAGCAGAAGGTTTGAAGAAGACATTCATGTTTTTTCATTGACGTAAAGGCTCAGTGATATGGAGAAGTCACACACACACACACACACACACACACACACTATTGCACCACAGGTTGGCGGACTGTTTGCTCTCCGGGTTGAAGCTGGTAAGCAGATTTCCCTGAAGGAGGAGCACACAGCAGGCGCTCCCTGATGCACTGGCCCGAGTAGAGGTGTCGCCCTCGGCCTGGGCAGCTCTGCCAGGTGGTGCAGCTGATACTTGACAGGGAGTGACACCTGCCACCTCCACTGCCCAGTATTTACCTTCCGATTAACAACCGTAATATATGTGTCAAGGTTGTCTCAAACTACACCTTCACAAACTAAGCGACAGTCACTGTTGTGGCGAAATGATTGCCTAATAGTGCAGTTTGATGCCAGCTTTGTCGTTGACATGTAGCTAAGCACTAATGTGGACACTACCTGCGAACTATAAGTTAACATCCGGTTCTTATTTTCTCGGGTGTCAAACCAGCAGAGGTCAGGAAGACAAGCTGTCCCCCGCAGACCGGACCAGCTTCATCATATCATCTGTAGCCCGGTTCGGCTAACTCCAAAATCCAGCTAGCAGCACCACCGACAGCTAACGGTGGAGCTGGGGGAGGAGAAGCTAACGCAGCGCTTCGTGTTTTCGGCCCCACACGACACACGGTTCATGAAACAGCCGAGACACTGGTTCGTTCCGTCCCTTAGTTCAACTAGCACACGAGAAGAACAGGGAGTGAACCAAACAGTGAGGAAAAAAATCTATCTCATACCTTCCGCCATGTTGCTCAGCGTTAGCTCCGGAGACTCTATCGCGATATGACGGACAGGCGGATAGTAGCCAGCGGTGCTGCGTTCAATAACACGCGAAAACACAGTTCAGCACAAAGCCGCTCCCAAACATCTGTCTTATTCTGACTTAGTTATTCCGTGAGATGTAGTTTTACACGCGTGATTAAGTCCACAGTCTGTTCATATGAGTTAATGAATTAAATATATATTTGGGGGAAACGATGCTAACTTAGGGAACTGTTTTTGCCACCTACAATAACAAACATCTCTTGTGACAGGTATTCAGCCTCTTGTGATATTTCTGAATGTGAGGAAGGTTTGTACTTGTGTTAAAATGTGATGGTCCTGCTGCAGAGTTTCATTCAGGACATTTATACTCGGTCCATGTTCAGGACAAACTGGCAAAAAGGCTGGGAGACGTATGCTGCCTTCAGGTGCTTCCCCGTACACTCCCACCAGCAGATGAAGTTGTATTCACGTGCCGGCTGTTTATCTTTACCTTGAGGATTTCACAGATCTAACACTCCTCTGGTCTGAGAACATGGGGGATGCAAATCTCAGCAGGCTGAAAATCCGCTTTGCAGAATAAGTCATCCCCCTCTTAAGTTCCCAATGAATGTTTGATCTGTTTTGACTCTTTATTTGATTGTTAGGCAGTTTAGATGGAGATTTTTCACCATTTTAAAGCCAACGCACTAGTCCTCAGAAATATAAATAACTGAATCAATAAATATTGACTGATCAGACCAATCAGAAGGAAATGATAATATGCGCTCCTGCTCCAAAACTCTGCACAACACAGGACATATTCACACAGCAGGAAGGGAAACCACTGATAGCAAAGCACATTTTGAATTCTATAATCCATACTGCAGCATTGACAACAAATTTGACAGAGTCTTGAATGGCAGCAGGCACATATTATCTGACACTCCTATTAATATCCCCTGAGTATGCAGGAGTTCATTGTAAAATTGTGCTACTGAACTATAATCATGGGTATTTCTGGCACTGCCCCAACCCATGCCATGAAAATAAACAATGAAAATCCTGTGAAAACAAATCAAACAGTAGGAATACTTTCAATGTATTTGGTGTCAAACGGTGGTTCATTTTAAGGATGGGGTGGAAATAATATTTTCACTTGAAAAATGAATCACTGCAGACACATTGTGTGGCAGAATTGTGGCTCCTATCATTTGTCATGTTCAGACAGTTTTATCTCACAAAGCTCCCTTTGCCTATAGTTTCATTTTGGAGCACTAAATAAAAATCACCTGATGTTGAATAAAAAACAGTAAAGGCAGATGGTATTAAAAAGTCGTTCTCCAACTTTCCTAGTTGAGAGTAATGAGCTTGTTTAGAGGCCAGACTGAACAAGAAGATCAGTATGATCATTTTTGCTGTGTGGCTTGTCACCAGTGACACTCTCGAACCCAAAGGGAAATAAAATATGTTGGTTACCATCAAAGTGTACAAAAGATGAGGATGGAAGCTACATAAAATAAGTTGGCACGATCCCCCAAATCCAGAGTAAATTAGTGTAACAAACATTAGACCAAAGTATATAATTTAGTAAGTAGTGAACTTGCTGTGGAAACAGATGATGGTGTTTAAGTTCATGAAATATTGTCTTACAAACCTCACGAAAACTACAGAATGGATTTCAATGAAAATTGAAGGTGGTGTGAGTCACTGAACAGCCCATAAAATTTTGGCGAAGGTCCAGATTAAGGGGTGGGCATTTTCCAACATTTTCCCAGGAAATAATGAATGGATCTTGAGCTAAACAACCAGACACATTTTGGGAAATTATAAGCATGTGTGTGAAATTGTGGTGCAGCTTACTGAAATTTAAAGGAACGGTTTGGCTTTGGAAGAGGTATGCACTCTATTGAGTTCCATTGTGATTCATGCTTTACCCAAAAAACACCCCAATTAAATACGCAAGTAAATATTGAAAAAAAAAAGTCATATCTTAGAAGAACTCACTACAGGTAACAGATTTCATAACATGAAAAATATACATCAGTATTTTGTCTTTGTACATTAGGCAAAACCAAAATCGTTCAGCGAGCAGAATAATCAGGAGACCGTGGATAAGGACAGAGCATGACAAAACAAAAATGGGCTCACATACTATATACACAAACACTCAAACTTAATCCCATAAAAACTCAGATCAGCCAGAACAAAAACCAAAAAGTAAGATAAAGCATGCATAACAATTCCTACAAAGGACAACACAGACAAGGAAAAGAGAGGCTGTTAAAAAGAATAGAATATTGGAGATGACCTCAAATTGTCTCAGGATATGACAAAATTAACATGTGTACAAGTCAAACAAGGGGAATTATTGCTACACTAAATTGTTACCAAGTATTTAATCAAACAGACTTCCTGTGTACTGGCTATTCATTAAATTCATACATAGGTGGTACACAAGTTCTCCATCTTTTTTCAACATTACAAACACTTTTTCAATGCAGGGTGAAGTGGCCAAGCATTTTATTTGGAGGCACTTTTGAAAAAAAGATTAACAAAATTTAGCATGCACATAAAGGTATGTAAGGTAAGGGTTACGTTGCCTTTCTTAAGTCAACAGAGCAAGGTGGTAAGACTTTGAGCAGATGAGAAGAAACTAAATCATTCAGTTGTTGAGTTCTGAGAGTGTTAAAGAACCCAAGAGAACGGCTTTGTATTCTAATTTGGAAAAACCCTTCATCAGTCATGTCATTCATGTCTCAAGCTCTTCATCTGTGACAGTCCTCCAACTGGATCACAATTCTCGGTTTAAGACATCCTGAAAAAACAATCTGAAGAGAACTAACGCATGCTGGAGTTGAGAGAGGGTGAGTGGACAAAAATAAATCTATCAGAACCAGCGCTATCCATTTGGTCTAAGTGTCTTCATGGATGGAAAGGGAGCTTATATATTATCCGGTTTCGTCTGTGCTATATACATGTCTTTACAATATCTTCCTGAATGCTGGAGCAGTTCATAGACTTGAAAGTGTTTTTATCATCTTCTGGGTTTGTTGTGTTTTGAGTTGGCACTTGCTTGGCGGTTTTCTGTCAGCCTTGGTAGTCACCTTTACGTTCTACTGTAGCCTACAGTAGCCAGTCTGTTCCTGCCAAAACAAAGGAGGACAAGCCTGGCGGGTGGAAGAGTGCAGGAAACAGTGCCATGTTGATTTTCAATTTAAGACCTGTGGGAAAACACACAAAAATTAAGACCAACAACACGTCATCATGTGTGAACCCAGTAGTAACAACACCCGTGTGCCTTTTCCAACACAGAAGCTGATAATGTAAAACCTCTCAAACAGATTCAGGTGATGTTTGAACTTGAATGATTGTTGTAATGTTAAGCTGCTTTCGGACATGCACTGAACTCAGGATAATCTCCAGACATTATTGGAGGGGCGGTATGTGAGAACGCAAATGCCCAAGTGAGAGACTGTCTCTGGAGTGTCTTCTGATAAGTTACTGAGCGATAAGGTGCACGCTGATGACATTTCTAACACGTGGCGGCGAAAAACTGAAAAAAAGAAAGAATATAGTAAAAAATATCTCAGGTTAAAAATGTGGTGCCATACACACAGTGGCAGATTTAGCAATTCGGGGGCCCAAGGCAAAAACAGGCATGTGGCCCTCCGCATATGTTGTTCTCCATCTGTTTTCAATCCTTATTTATCTAAGAAAGTCCTACTTGTAACTTCTTCCCAACCCAACAAAACATATTAACAGTTTAACAAGAGCCCAGAGCTCGTTCCTGAAGCAGCAGGTCAGAGACTTTGTTAAAGAACAGTGGAAACCGTGAAACACAGAGTTTCTCTGGTCACAGCTGCTTCATGATCAGAGCTGAAGCTGCAGTTGGTTTGTATCGAGCTGGAACTGAACTAGTTCTTCTTAAGTGTGAACTGGCGCAACACTTCTCATCAGTCTCTGTTCACACCCTGAATCACTTCCGTGGATGCGCTCATGGAATAGTCCATTGTAGAGGGGGGTTGCAGAGACACTAGTTAATTGTGAATAATAGGCATTCTGATGCTGTTTTAGCGTATTGATTTTAAGACAGAAATGATTAATTAACAAAAAGTACAAAAAAAAAATCATATCCATAAGTTCATTAGGTTCTTTATGGAGCTCCTGGTAGTTCGGGGCCCGAGGCAATTGCCGACCTTTGCCTAATGGTTAAGTCCACCTCTGCACACACATAGAGGACACCAACGAAGACGTTGGTAAGGATCAGCATCAGTGTTGATGTGCTGTAAACATAAACCTGTGATTTCTGCAGTGGGCTTTATACATTACATCTTGCCTGCTGAGTGCATTATGGTGAATGAGACTTTGCACTGAGCTCAGCATTCTCAAGAAGCACTGAGCTACTCTACAGGCATTAGTTAAGAAAAGCATAACTTTTTGCTGTCTGGAAACTCCACCCCACCATACAAAATACATTTTTAAAAATGGAGGAAAGTTGATCATTGAGATGCAGAGCCAATGTACTGAGAGATTTTTTTAACAATGTTGATGTATCCGACAGCTGCAGATATGTCAGATATCAACTGTCCACAACAAAGGATGTTTAATTACGCACACCCCCAGCCCCAGAACTACAAATCAAAGGTCAAATTCTGCTTACTACTTCTAATGTTCAGTTTATGTTGAAACTATTTTACAGAGTTAATCATCACACATAAGTGTTTTCGTCAGTCTGAATGAAATTATTGGTCAAGTTTATTACAATCCTTTGAAGGCCACAGACACTGGCTTTTTTTCAGACCACTTCATTTATTGATGGCTGTCAGGATGTGAAGAGGATTTCAACGAATAAGATAAGAAGCGTTTGAGCAACAAATTAAACCCTATCCTTAATGGTGGGTAGGTGAACCAAAAACACCCCGAGAAAAAAGTAGTACAATTAA